TTAACCAAAGATGATTTAGATAGGCGAGTTGAGTTTTGTGAACAAATGACTGCAGTTGTTAATGATAATACCATTCATGTAAAGAATATCTGCTTCAGTGATGAATGCACATTTTATCTAACTGGACTTGTTAATAAGCATAACTGGAGGTATTGGAGTAATGAAAATCCTGATGCTTTTGTAGAAGGGCATACCCGGTACTCCCAAAAAAAGTATGTACGGGCAGGCATTTTAGGAAACAAAGTGTTTGGGCCATTGTTCATTGATGGAAACTAGAATGGATACATCTATTTGGATATGTTAGAAAATACCATTAATCCGCTTATCACTGAAACCATTGAAAATGAAATCGAAGAGGATGGAAACCTTATACCTACTTGATGAGGCTGAAATATGTGTACATCTGCAATGGTTAGAAGACGAGTTTCCAGATAAATGGATATGGTGAATAGGGCCTATAGAAGGGCCTGCTAAGTCTCCTTATTTGATGCCATTAGACTTTTTCTATGGGGCCCTCTGGAGTCTATTGTGTTTACTCCCCAGCCTGAAAATTTGGATGAACTTCGTCAACGCATCATCGAAAGCTGTCACGGTATCCCACAACATATTTTTGAACACGTCCGTCAGGAATTTGAACGTTGCCCATATCATTGGTTGGCCAATAACAGGGAACATTTTGAACATTGAAATAAAAAGAAATATTATCGTGTGTTTTTGTTTTCTATCTGAACAAATTAAGATAAATAAAGATTTTTCTAAATTTCTTGAAAACGAATCGACCGATTTTAAAAATTAAACATATATAATAAAGGACTTCGAAAGACCTTTCAAACGAGCTATTACTCGATATCCCTGGTCACTTGAAATTTTTAAGGAGATGATTCTGGGGGGCAGAGGGTGAAACGGGGCTGAAGCAGTTTTTGGTTAAAAAGTTGTCCCCCATGACAAATCTTTTGACGTGTCTCGGCGCATTTTTTTTAATCAGTGGTTTTCGATAAATCTGTGGTGGGAAGTTTTCAAATGAACATGCTGTATACACTAGGTTCAGGGTTAAGCGTCGGATAGTCAGTAAATCATTTAGTGCATTGATTCCATAAAATGAATATGGGGGTCCACGATAGTGGATCTCAACACATACACTGGTAGTACCTATTTACTTACATACTATCTTATAATATCTCTCTCTTATAATATCAAAACATATACATTATTTATAAATGTACCTATGAAGTTAAAAAATTTTTATATATGTTTATAAAATTGTGTAAGTTGTAGGATGTTGGTATTCGCTTTGTGGTCGCAATACATTTTAAACTTGTAAAAACCTGAGAGTCGCAATCTCAGAGCTTCGCTACCTTGCACTGACTTGTTTAATTCGTTACTCTATAAAGACGAATGTGGGACAAATACGTTTATTCGTTTCCTGAATCTTGAAAAGGAAAGTGCTAAGAAAATATTTTAAAAAATATAAACAGATTGTATATCACACAAATTATGGTGAGTCAGTGTTATTTTGTTTGAGAGTGCTGGAGAAAAGTAAGTACATTATTTTTTATTAAATTTTAGTTTTGTACTCGTAGTTAGCAAAGATAGATAAATTACGCCAATCATGACTTTAGTTATTAGTAGTTAAATATTCAATCATGCAAAATTATACGAGTTCTTCTCAATAGTTTCTTTCTGAGAGTTAGCAATCGGTAATATAATTACAGTGCAATCTCCGTAATTCGAGCTAATTGTTGCAAGATGTTCGAATTATGGAATGTTTTCGGAAAAATCAAAAAATATTTTTAATATACAGCTGCGGGACTTTCTGTCTTATTTAAATAATTTAATTTTGCCCACAGATGACTGCTGCTATGTCCGAATCTAAAAAGAAATGTAGACAGTACAGTGTTGATTATTTGAAATTTGGCTTCATTCCATCATTGCCGGACAAACAATCGCCTATGTGCCTTTTATGCAGTTTTGGGCAATGACGCTATGAAACCATCTAAACTGCAAGATCATCTGAGAAGATGCCACCCTGATAAAACAGAGAAAGATATGAAATACTTTCAAACACTCAAAGATAAATTTTAGAAGAGACCTACACTGGACAGAATGTTCGCTTCGACGTCACAAAGAAATGATGATAGTTTGCGGGCGTCTTACAATATCCCGTTACTTATAGCAAAATCCGGAAAACCGCATACTAGCGGAGAGAAGTTAATTTTGCCAGCCGTTGAAGAGGTTTTAAAAACTGTTTCACACAAACCTGCATCTGATATCATTAAAAGAATTCCCTTAAGCAACAATACTGTTGAAAGACGTATTGATGAAATGAGTTCTGATATTGAAAGCTTCTTATGTAATTATTTGCAAACGACCCATTTCTCTATCCAACTGGACGAGTCAACTTTACCTGATAATGCATCATTATTATTGGCATATGTTCGTTTTATTATGAGTCAAGAAATCTACGAAGAACTGCTCTTCGCAAGAACTTTGATAACCGACACTAAAGGTGAATCAATATTTCATGTTTTGAAGGATTACTTTATTGAAAAAGCAATTCCTTTATCAAATATAATATCAGTAGCTACAGATGGAGCACCTGCCATGGTTGGACGTTATCGTGGATTTATAAGCTATTTAAAACAAAATGTGTCAGGGGTGTTAGCAATACATTGCGTCATCCATCGACAACATTTAGTTGTTAAAAATGTTAGTGTTAGATTGCATGAATCACTTCATTTAGTCATTGATGCAGTAAACCGAATCCGAAGCAACGCGTTGAATACGCGGTTATTTGCGCAGTTGTGTGAAGAAAATGACGAACACTTTCATCAATTACTTCTTCACACTGAAGTACGCTGGCTGTCGAAAGGCTTATGTTTGACAAGATTTTTTGCACTTTTTGAGACTATTTTAGAATTTCTGGATACTAAAGATAAAATTTTAAAAGAAAATTTAATGAAGAGGAAAACAGACATCGCCTATTTAACAGATTTGTTTACAAAATTTAATATGGTCAATTTGCAATTACTAGGCGACAGTTTAAATTTGATTAAAACAAAGTCCATCATATCAGCGTTTGTTGCCAGAGTTAAACTAATGAAGCAAAATATTGGACGGGGCGAATTTTCTCAGTTCCCCAATTTGTCACAGACAAGCTGCCAGGAAGACGACGTTTCAACTTACGTTCAACATTTAAATGCCCTCTATTCAGATTTTAAATCTAGGTTTGAGGATATTTTGACTATGGTAATACCACCGTGGATAATTAATCCATATGGTGACAGCGACATAGAAGAAACGAATGTCATAATACAAGAGGAGCTGACTGAACTAAGTACAAACGAAGAACTTAAGGTTCAGTTTAAAAACGGATATTAGCAATTCTGGCTGCAAAACAACATACCCGTTACTTATCCCGTATTATGGAATATAGCGAGGAAATTTTTAATTTCCTTTCCATCGTCATACCTAGTGGAAAGGGGGCTCAGCGCTGTTACCAATCTCCTAACGAAAAAAAGAAACAGACTGGACATCATTAGCCGAGGAGATTTAAGATTAACCCTTACAAAATTGACGCCAAATGTTGATAATTTATTATTAAAGCATCAGGTTCATCCTTCTCACTAAAAATATTGACTTATTGCTTATGTTATTTTATTTAAAGTTTATTTTATGTTTATTGGTGACCAATAAATGCCCGCATTGGGAATAAGTGCCCGCATTGATTTTTTTAAAGAACCCCCCTTTACAGAAAATTTTTTTTTAAAATTATTCTGAAAATTCAAGGATAGGTACACACTAAAATTCTTTAATTTTTTACCTATTTTTAGGTAACTTAAGCGTATAAGAAGCGGAATTTAATCAAACTAACAGTGAAATTATTGTAGAACATACGTTTATGTGATAATTAATAAACGAACTCGCTTATTGTACTATTTTAAGTAAAAAACTTTTTTTTTTATTATTTTTCACTTTTTTTTTTATTTTATCCCTCATATTTTTTTTCAATGCGGGCACTTATTCCCAATGCGGGCACTTATTGGTCAGACACCTGTTTATTTAATGTTATGTATATTTTACATAACAGATACAAAATTTTATTTTGAGTAGTTTTAATTTAAATTCAATTAATAAATGTATAAATTAACATGTGTTTTTACTTTATGTTCTTAACACTAAACTTCACTACAGTTAGAAATTTACAGGAAATCAATATCAGGTAAGTAGGGGGTCTACCCATTACGGAAAAACATGGCAAGGGGTCTACGACACAAAAAAGTTTGGGGAACTCTGATTTAGTGCATACTACTCTTATTTGAAACAGCAGAAAAACTTGAAAACAAAATGTTGCCAATTAGATAAACTCTATTCTTATCGCGCATTCATTTAAAAATTTGCTAATTCCAAAGATCCCTGACTAAGCATATCCACTTAAGCCGATATATCGTAGGTATCTAAGCATCAAACTGTATAAAATCTTTCTCTCTGTTATTATTATGTCTTAGGCGCAATCCACACAGAACGGGCGTGTGGTGGTGGCGTGGGACTGGCGTGGTGCGGTTCAATTCACACTGAAATGTCAGAACTCAGTTTCCCTCAAGGCGTGGATCACAGAGTGACGACTGACGATGCGTTCGGATGACGAAGATGATCAAGATATTTTAGACCTTCTGAATTTAGCTAACATACAAAGGCAAAGGAGATACTGGATACATCCTTTGTGGCTAGATAAAGGGAAAACTAGTGGTTCGTTTAACGTTATGCGGGAGCTCAATATGTACCCTGAACGTTTTCAAAGTTTCTATCGAATGTCCAGTCAATGTTTTTATAAAATACTAGCATTAGTAAGGATAGATCTTGAAAAGAAATCAACAAATTGGAGAGAACCGGTCAGTCCAGAGGAGAGGCTGTTAATAACGCTGAGGTAAGTTGAAAAAATATATTAAAGTAAATTGAATTAAATCAAATAGAAGAAAACATAAAATCAGTAATATCAGGTACTAATTATTGTATCGTATAAACTCAGTCATATTGAAGGGGTCCGTGTTGGTTTGCGGGATTGAACCTGGATTTCTATTCACCGAATCTTCAATCCAAGATTGAGAACCATCCATTGGTGGAGTACTAGCTTCCAGATTGGTTGAGGATAGTATTTGCTCGGCCAAATTTAAAATGCCCATTTTGAAACGCCGTTTCTGGTTAGAGTTCATAGACTTCGTGTCAGGCAGAACACTCTGTAAAAATGCCAGGTCAGGATCAGGAGGATCAAATGTGGTATTTGTTTTCGTGACGTTTTAGATCTCCAATACTTTCTGTTTTTTCTCAAAATACTGATAAGCTTGGTTGACATTATTGATAGAGGTTGCTAACTTCTTTTTTTTTAAATCATCTCCTTTCCGTGATGGTGTTTCAGGTGCTTTCATTGCTAACAGGTGATCATCGACAAAAGTACTGGGAGATGGTATAGGTGAATGAGAGGAATGAGCGGATAGAATGTAATCGGGTGATTGAACCTCAATGTTGCCATTTTCTTCATATTCATTAGCATCTGTTTCCTCATCAGCTGATAATGCAGACTCTTCAGCTATGTTGCCTTTGCTTTTGCGAGACTTCAAGAAAGGATCCAAGAAGAGGAGATGTGGGGTCAGATTATATTCTTTGACTCGTTTAGCTCCTTGTCCTGATTTTGTTTGTAGTTTTGCCCTATATTTTGAATAGCTTCCAGCGGTATTTACACTCGGATACTGAAACAAAAACAAAAATTATACATTTAAATCTACGTTAAAACAAAATACTGGTATAAAGTGAAAATCGATTGCCTATTTTCAGGTACTTCGCGACTGGATGTTCATTCAAAGCCCTTTCCTTCTAATTCCTGAAAGGTCATTCTACTATACAAGAGATTGTGCATCACACCGCCCAAGTCATATGGAAGAAATTACAACCTACACAAACTAAGTGGGAAGGAACAGCGAAACGTCTTCATGAATTGTGGAATCTTCCCAACTGTATTGGTAGCGTAGACGGCCAACATATTCGAATAAAAGCACCACCGCGGTCAGGATCTGCTTTCATCAACTATAAAGGGTTTTTTTCTATTACCTTACTTGCTGTGGCAGATGCAGATGGCCTATTTCTAACAATCGATGTAGGTGAATTCGGACGCAATAGTGATGGACGAGCCTTGAAAAATAGCAGTTTTGGAAAAGCGTTGAAGGAACGACGTCTGAATATACCTGAACCAGCTGCATTACTTGGAGAAATGCATCCATTAATTCCCTACTTTTTTGTAGGCGATGAGGCTTTTCCCCTATCCTCAAATTTAATGAGACCCTTCTCTCGAAGAGAGTTGATAAGTCACGAACTAAAGATTTTTAATGTCAGATGTTCCAGAGCACGGAAATCAGTGGAATGCGCTTTTGGTATGCTTACAACAAAGTTCGGGCTTCTACAGACACTTATTCGATGTGATCTTACTAAAGTTGATGATCTGAAAACGTTATTGTTGGCGATTCCACTCCAGTACAATTAATACAAAACGCTAGAGATATGAGAATTTACCTCAGCAACTATTTTAAAGACCGCGCACCAATTCTTCATCAGGTTAGATACTGCGTATGAATGGAAGCAGATACTCTGTAATATAAAAAAATCAATAAACATGTACGTACTTACCATTTGCACTGATTTTTTTTTTGATATTTGTTCCCATGCCTGGTCTTATGCACTTCTGTTGCAGTAATCCGATCGTGTGTAATCATATAGAACTGCATATTGTTCCACTAGTTCACAGAACTCGATATTAAATTGAAAATCGTCCCGAATTTTGATTATCGAACACCAGAGATCAACAAAAGTAGCTGTCAGGTGTATGGCATTTGGCACTAATGTAGGCCACTAGTGGTGTCGAAGTGTCACTTCTGTCGGTATTGCTGCATAAACGAACATGTGATGACACATGCCCCTGCCACGCCAGACCCACGCGCCCGTTCTGTGTGGATTGCGCCTAACAGATACGCAGTATCACCGAAGTCAGCACGTTTTTAATAATGGAAGATATTTCACTGATACCAGAGGCGCAACAATTTACAACCATTCGCCCCCTACCGCTTCCAACCCGCAACTTCTAATCCCTCCAAAAACTGTTTAGGTCCACCAATACTGAATTAATTTTCAAAAACTACTACCATCTACTTGTTCATCCTTAGTAGTCACATTGTGTCAAAATACCATCAAAGCGTCACATAACATCCAAAGAACATATCTCATTATTGATATTTTAAGCGATTACGATACTTCCTCGTACGATACTTCCTCGCCAGTGGCGTAGGAAGTAAAAAACTAAATAGCGATTTATTATAACTGTCGTAACGCAAGTACCTATTTAAAGGTTAGCAGAATTTATGCCTGATTTCATACATAATTTTACCGTCTAAGCCAAAGCTTTATCAAAGTCATAACAGTTAAGTTTAACCCGAAATTTTGGTGCATTTCGCAAAAGAATAGTTAGTCATTTGAATGTTGCCTTGAAGCGAGACTGGGAATAAATGAGTTAATAATTGCTCCAGTGTTGTCGCAATCGATGCTATATAGGTATGTATGATGTGTGACAGCTGTAATAAAAAAAAACATATTTTAAGGTAATGAAATTTTTTTCCTACTAACTCTTTTGAGCGTTAATGCTAAGAACGTTGGTTTAGATGCTTTTATTATAGGTACCTGTCGAGGTTGCATGAAGAAGTATAACGAGTAATGGTAGTAATTTATAATTTCAAAGTAACCAAAACATAATTTTTGTAACTTTAATAAGGAGGTATGTGGTTCCACAAGTCACAAACTAAAAAGTATATAAAAGGTGGTATTTAGTCTCATTGACCCCAGAATACATTAAAGACTAGCAGACCACGTCAATGTTTCAAAAAACCATCACTTTTGATCTGATTCAACTCAGAGTGATATCATTTATAGTATACTCGTGAACCAAAGCGCATTGGTTCAAATGCTGTTGAAACATGCGAATTTTTGGACGAAACCTGTGATCCGGTTCTGACGATCGCTCCTACTAAGGAAAAGGTTGAGTTATACTTCTTGACAGATTTGTTTCATGCATCACATCTTAGTGACACTAGCGCCAACTTCCCTACCGTCCTCATAGAACTGACCAACTTCAACCCTCGATGTTACAGCGCAAGCGCGCACCCTCAATCAATAACCCTCCAAATACAGTCCACCATTCGACGGCGTATACCTTGGTTCACTTTACAAAAATTATTTCGCTGGTTTACGGTTTTCAATCGGTTTTCTTTTGATCTTCGTCCCGAAAACACGGAAAAGGTGTGATCTAGAAGGCCATGGCGGAGGATGGGCCACAAATTACGCCTGTCGATGGCGGTAAGTAAAATATGCTCAATTTTGGATTGCAGACGGCTCCATTTTTGTTTGGTATTGCTGTTCTCGAATCACCCTGACGTTTAAAGTAGCCTCAATATGACGCTGATGAAAATTAAAAAAATCATGTGTAGTTATCAGCGGAGTTGGAAAATTGATAAAATGTGGGTATCTTAGAAAACTTTATCTTATATCAGATCAATACTTCATGCCCTATTGTTGCTTTACCTCCCTCTTATATGTCAGAATGAATCACTCGGATATCTATAACAATGCTTAGAAATCAAGTTGAATACCTAATTTAAAGAGCTAGGAATTTGAGCGCTTCTGTCGCAGATTTCATAATTCGTTATGTAGCACAACATTTATTTCAGTTTTAGTTTAATCTTGTGCCCTTGCACGGCGTTTTTCAAAAACAGCAACTCTTGTCATGACAAGCACCGTGATACCAGTTAATTTAAGCGTAACAAAATGCTATTTTGTTAGTTATTTTTCTCAGCCCTGATTATCCCAGAGTTAAGTTTATTTAGTTGTAGGGTTTACCCAAAGGTGACATGAACCAACGGATTAACTTAGTATCTTACGCGTGTAGTTTTCAACTTGGTTATATAGCTATCGATTGAAAGTTGAAGTTAAGCTCAAATTTGTAGACTACGAGTATTTCCAAAAAACAGGCAGAAACATGAAGAAATGTGACAACTGAGCAAGTGCACTGGAGTTCTTTCAGACTTCTCAAAGGAAAAAACAGTAGCTTTCTAGACGAAACATTTGGTATCCGGATGCAAAAGTCTGTAAACGCGACAGTATCAAATTATTGATATTAAACTCCGTTGCTATCCTTAAAAAACCCTAGAGACATGTTAGCAATCCAGCATTTTTTGGGTATTAATAATAAGTACCAACTTATACCAATGAGTCATCCAATATTGCCACCCAAACTGATGCAGACATCTTCACGGATAAGGAACGGGATCAGTGGGTGGAAGATTGAAGTGCAGACGATATTCCAAAGGAAAATTACAATATACAGGGTGGCCCATCCATGTGTGGAATATTACTCATAAACAAATACATTTTGGAAAAATATATTTATAGCGTGTTATACATGACATTTGAGGGCACATTCCTAAAATATTGGCAATTATACAGGGTGTCCCAATTTTGACCTACATATCAAAGCTGTGATTCCTTAAATGGAATGCCTGAAATTTTATTGCTTATTTGCATAAGCCAATTCAAAAGAAGAAGATTGATATAACATACTATGGGGTTTTGGTAATTAGCTACTGAGATGTAAGCTGTTTTGTTCAGAAAAACCGTCCACTTCGACAAGCCCTCAATTATATATTCCACTGCTCCACTTGATTCAAAACGTTCCCATAGTGTGGAAAATGTTTCCGGCCTCGGATGTTGCTTATAAATGGGAGATGCTATTTCTTTCAAAACGAATACCATATTCACCATTTCTTCTTTAGAAAAATTCACTTTCAAACACATTTTATTATAACGCTCACAAAGCTAATTTTGGCAGTTTGTAACTAATCAACAATTTATTTGTTTCCAAGGATAATGCGATATTTTAGGGAATTAACCCGTTCCATAAAAGACGTGTTAATAACCGAAAAAATAGCCGTAAAAACCCTCATGGGTTAGTATAAAAAAAAAACTTATAAGAAATTGAGTCCTAACTTGCACAAATATACAGGGTGATGCTTTGAAATTTTTGAGAAAAACTTCAATTTGCGTTCTTGACTACCCTGTATGAGCCAACATTAAAATTCGTAAAAGTACCAAATAAGATGAAAGCTGAGGTATATAAGTTTCTTTTGATACAAAATGCAGTACTCCAAATTTCAAAATGGCGGACTGAGGGGTTGCCGATGTGGGGGGTTTTTTCTAGACAAAACACCTTATATCTCAGTAGCTAATTACCAAAACCTCTTAGTATGTTATATCAAATTTCTTCTTTTAAATTGGTTTATCCAAATATGGAATAAAATTTGAGTCATTCTATTTGAAAAATCACAACTTAGATATGTAGGTCGAAACTGGGACGCCCTGTATAATGGCCAATACTTTAGAAATGTGCCGTCAAATATCATGTATAACATCCCATAAACAGATTTTCACAAAATGTATTTGTTTATGAGTAATATTCCGTCCACGCATGGATGGGCCACCCTGTAAGTTAATGCCACTCATGTTCGTAGAAAAAGCTCAGTTTCCAGACTCGAGCATCCTGCTTGTTACAAGACTGCCATAAGCTTAACGCAATCTATATATCTATATCAATATATAATGATAATGTTCTTGAAGACTGTCATAAGCTTACCACCATCCATATCAATAAACAATGCCAATATTCCTGTAGTACATCCTAAATAACCAAACATGTTTCCACAAACCTAGGTCTTCAAATGTCTCATTACCAAAGTATAACATGTTACATTGTTCAAATAACGTCGTTGAATGACATGACCCGTCAAATATACCAAACACAAACAGCTTCCCACATCAAATGAGCATAGTTTATAAGCGGGGTTTTGGCCCTGATAATAACTCAAATTTCAGTTCGCGCTGATCAAAATACTTGTAGAAATATATTATCGCGACAACTGATAGACAAACTACTGCTCACAGCTCTAATTATTATTCCTTCCTCAAAAAGTTCCAATTTCTATCTGACACTAAAATTGGTTTGCCTTGTTACAATTACTATTCGGAACCTCAAAGCTAGGGATGAAATACATACGGAAGACGATGGACCAGTGACTCATCGTATTTTCCAAGGCGTAGCAAGCTTAATGTCAGGAGGTTAAATCCCCGTGTGTTACCGCCCGCGCCCCAAGGCTCAGGGGGCAGGTCAAATGTCAGACGTGTAAAGACTCCAAGATTCGCCAATCCAGCTGAGGTTCTCTACGAATGTAGACAGGGCATTCGTATATACATAGTTCAATTGACGGTTTTTGGCGGGTTACTCTAAAAATCCTCTACTTCACAAATACATAAGCAAGTGCGGACGTTTGTTTGTGTAAGCCCAGACATACGCTCTATAGTTTCGTCCCCCCACCTAAAAAATTTTCCCCAAAGTAGGAGTATTCCTAATCTATACTTGTCACTGTCAGTATGATAACCCACTTGACATGAGGGTACCATTTTGTGTTTACCTTTTATTGATTTCCATAATAATATAAAATATAGCACTGGCTGAAAATACAACTAACGTACAACATCGATAGTTTTGCCAAATGTATTGCAGTATTTTGAGAAAGTGGGTGAAAGCAATTGTCCTTTATTAACCAATTCATGAGTGCAGGAGCAGCCGAGCTTAAGATTGGTTTGCTTATAGACCTTCGGTATGATTGAGTTAGTCGATTTGTTTACTTATTTCGTATGGCATTTATAACGTAACTGCCAAAAACCGGTGACAAGGTCTGTGCATACATAATCTTTTAATTATAACGTCAGGGTGTACATGTGACATTCGTGCTTTCTTCCAGTCTTTTCCTTCTTGCTTTGAACTTTTCGTACTCCGCTATTCCAGTATATAGGTATTTCCTTTCTACCTTTTTTGTCAGTCGGTGCTTTTCCAAATCTGTTTCGGTTATGTGCACCATACATCAGTATATCGATTTCACAAGAAATGCTCTGTTGAAGACTTAGGCCTTTTTTCTTTTGATACATGTTTCCAATAAATGTTTTATTCGAGGAGTAGTACAGTTTGTTTTCATTGTATATCCATGAATCGATTCCGATTTCAATATGGCCTCCAATAGTTGAGACTATCCCTTTGATCTACAAAAAGAAAGTATAAGAAGGAGTGGAGGTAAGACTGCTGAATCCTCTTTCAATAATATCATTTTGTTTTTTCCCACCCATAAAGTGAATGGTAATGGAGGAACGACAATCCTTCCGTCAATGAGCATTATAGATTTTGTAAAGAGCGTATTATCAAAATATGTATTTTTTTCTAAATCGTGAAATAACCTTTATGTTCAGAAACAATTTAAAGTTACGCAATAGCCACAAATAAATATTTTTCTGTTTTCCAATATTAGGTCAGGCTAACTGGAATTTTAGAAAGTTATAGATAAATTTTTCGTTATGCGTCAAAGTTGTAAATATCACCCTTCCGCGTACATTTAAAGAATTGTGAAGTAGCTATTATATGAGTCGACTAAAGGAAAGTTTTAACGGATGAAGAGACTTTGAAAGCAAGTAAATTCTTCAATACCGCTTTTGTCTAATATTCGAGATATCATGGCCCATACAGGGTGTTCCTTAATGATATGCGAATATTTAAGGGTGTGAATCTACATGAAAAATTAATGTTAGTTTGCTATGGTCCAAAAATGTTTCCTTTCAAAAACTCGGGGTTAGGAAAAATATAAATAATTAATATTTTCAGAACCGCTTCAGATATATCACTGATATTTAGTAAGTAGTGAGAATTAATAAAGTTCCATATTTTTTGAAGATACCACTGACAAAAGGTCACACGCCTTGGAAAATCAATGGGAAGTAGTGCTTGTACTCTTAAAATATGGTAAGGGTATAAAAAAAAATCTACTAAAATTCTCCAGACAATTTGACAATATTTCCATGCACTGCTTCCTCAATTTTAGGTGTTCTCACACTTAGAAGTCTACGTTCAGATGTTCCTTTTCGGAAAGAACCAGTTTCGACAAGACGATGATGAATATTAGAAAAGGTTCGACTATCTGGCAAAGCACAATCGGGATATCTCTGGTGGTAAATCCGTCTGGCTTGCTCACCATTACCGTCGGCAAGGCCATATACGTAATGCATTTTCGCCATTTCTGCATTTGAATAATTCACCATTACTAACAAGATTGTAAAAACTAAATAATGAAAATTATGTCACAGCGAACAGATTTGAATAACAGAGACTTGTCAGATGTCCAAAGCCAGTGATATATTCCAGAGCAACTAGATATTTATTGCTCAATTATATCTTCAATTATTACATTAATTTTCTCGGACAATAGGGCGGTTTTTATTTTTTACTCAAAAATGTCGCATCGAAGGAAAACAATTTAAGGGAGATCGTTTGTTTTAAATTGAACGGGGAATTAAAAAACAATTTTTATTTGGCAAAAATCTATTGGCGTACCATTTTTTTTCTTAAAAAATATCGAAGTCAATACCCGTAGGCACGCCACTGTTAAAGCTAAAAATTATTTTTGCAATGAAAAATATGCAACTTTATTAACTTTCACTACGTATTAAATATCAGTGGAATATCTGAAGCGGTTCTGAAAATATTAATTAATTTCCATTTTTTTTTTCCTAAAACTTCAACATCCCTAGTTTTTGTATCATAGTTTATAAAGCAAACTAACATTCATTTTTCACGTAGATTCACACCTTTAAATATTCGCATATCATTAAGGATATGTTTTTAATACAAATAATCAAATCTTTTTTTTTAATGTGGATAGTATTGGTCGTTATGAATTCTTTTCACTATTCAAACACTATCAACGTCAAGCAAAAATTCACTGTTTGCAGCTATAGAATTTGGCTTTCCGAAAATGCCTAATTTTGGCCATTCCTTTACAAGGTGTAAAAACTTGTCAATTTTGCGATATAACTAACCTTGTCCATGGAGATCTAATTGAGTTAATTATTTTCTGTGGTGCGACTTTGAGCATTGTAGAGAAACGTGCATTTCTTAGTCAGTCCAGGGGCGTGTCTTCAGATTATCTGCTTCTTTCAGTAAGCTAAAGAGAAGAGCACTTCCTTAGAAAAAGGCACAAAATGCTGCAAAGCTTTGAAGAGACATTAGCGAGATAAAAAGCAGAAATAGATGCTTCAGAGGATAGTTTTTTCCTCTCATCGGTATCATGCTTAGTTCATTAACCACAGAAGTTAAAAGAGTGTACTGTACAACTTGGTACGCAACATATTTTTTTCAATAACAGTTTTTCTAGAAATCGAAGAGCGATTCTCTTTATTAGACACTTTCTTTTCATATGCCCAAATCTCTTGTTCGTTCCTAGAAAAACAAATGGGTTATGTGAGTACTAAGGACATTCGTTTAACTTAGAAATATATGGTATGGAAGTGCTCGGGAGCGTCCCTTGGGAACCACATGGAAGCCTTTCTTATATATTGAGACTTGTGACTTTACACTGTGGTCTACGTGCAGCAAACATTTTGTCATATTATTCAGGGGTATACAACTAATGCAGCTGATGCTAAGTTGATAATTTGCCGAATTTGTTTGGATGCTGCCGAGGAAAATAATAAATCCAATGCTACTAATTTCTTTTCCAGTTAAATATCCCGCCGTCGCCGCCCTATGTTTATCAGTAGCAGTGGCGTGCGTACTGCTCGCAGTCGCAGCGGCATGGTACTGCCGGCGTCGACGCGCTCGCCGACGCGCCAAACGTCACGGTGCAGACCAACCCTTAGCGTTCCACATGCATCGGCGACCCACAGCCGTCAAGAGCCCTGCGGGGGCTACCAGTGGACCTGCTGGTGTCGGAGGGCACTATCTGAAGAAGAGTCCCAGTCCTACGGGAACTGGAAAGACGCCACCTGGGGTGAGTATATTTGCGTCAATCGTGCTTGTAATGCGAGGTTTTAGTTTTTGCTTCTACTTTAAAGCTGCTTGTCATAGCGTTCGTGAAATTTTCTCCGTCTGACCAAGGTATCGCAAGTTTGTCTGTGAAGACATCGGTAGAGAGAGGCAAGTCCACGCGCGCTCACGCTTGGTATCAAACACGTTTGATTTTTAGGCTTGTACACGCCAGTCGAGAGCGAGTCGGATCATCATCTGCTTCCGAAAACTCGTTCCAGAAATAAACCTAACTGGTCTTTTTCACATTTCCAGTAATTTTTAATTAATATTCCATAGCTTAGCTTCTGCCCGGTTGAGTTCCCCCAAGTTTCTTCATGTAACTATGCATCCAACAAAGCTTTTTATTTTTTTATCTGCCTACTTAACTATTTAGAGCTCAAGAGGGCACAACTAACTGAAACACAGACTATTAATTAGTATATCAGATAACAAACTGTAAAATACCTTTAGATCATTTGCATCTGCCGCCATCTGAAGAAGGTGATCCTAACTAAGCCACCCTGAGCAATAATAATATATTGTCATTACAGAAAACGAAAGTATACAACGACATTCACTCCCTCTATTTTATTATCAGCACGATGTATTTATTATTCACCACCTTTTTATACACTTGTCATTTTAAATTTACTTCTGGATTCTTAACAGGAGTCTTCACCGTTATGCCGAATCCTGTAAAATAAGGCAGATATTTTACATTTGCTTTTGAGAACCTGAAAAGCGGCGAAAAACTCATGACCAAATAATAATACGTGGAAATGGTGTTGCATTAAAATTTAGTTCGCTGCTATTGAAGCTATTATAAATTCGCAAATATAAGATTTCATGTGCTGATACTCATATTTAATTTTTCCTGAGTATTATAACTCAAATATTGCTTTTGTACACTCTAGATATATCTCCCCTCCTCCTTCCAACATCAGCCTATCGCTTCCAAGCGCAGGCGTTCATGACAGCCACCTTCCAGGAATCTTCTGTCTCTTATGCTATTAAATTGGTCGTTGCCCGCTTTCATACCAAACTCTTTCTAAGCCATAGAAACAACAGCAATGCACAATCAAAACATACCTTAGTGCTCAGAAACCAGACAAACTAATCTCCTCGGTAATATATCCCTCGTCGCGTATAATTATTTCATGCACAAATTAACAATATATAGTCTGAATTTATTACACAAGTTTAGCCTAATACTGTTTCACGCTTTTTCACATACTAAGAATATAATAGGTTATTTCCAACAATGAATTTCATATCATTAATTTGTGTGAGTGACTGTATTTAACAGCCTCGTATAGTCAGAAATTTCTAACAGAAATAACCGAATAATATATTAATATAAATATAAAATCATGGCATCAGTTTTTAAAAGTAATTGTTGTATTATTTTTTTCACTCCACAATTGACAACAGTGCTCTTGTAATTTCAAACTGTAATACCACTATGCATTTTCTGCACTTAGTATGGATCTCTTCTTTTATATGGCGCCGTAGACATGACTAGAAAGTTAAGTATAAATGTAATGTTCTATCCTAGTACGGATGACTTAGGCTATTAAGTGCGTGATAGATTTTAATTGCAACCTTCCCTAAGAATTAAGTTATCTGACTGTTCACGATTTGCTGGTTACCCTTTCAGATGTCTGCTCCTCACACTCCAAGTCCAACCTCTGGAAGCGTAGGACCCCTGGAAAGTGGAGTTGTTAGCGGCAACCAATCACCTGATGGCAAGCCTGTAGACACTGTGGTTGCAAAGGATGCCTATAATACAGAGAATGAGAAGAACCACTATCCAACTAAAGAAGAAATGGAAACCAACGAGAAGAACCTCCAGCAGAACGCTGCTTACTTAGGACAACTGGTCTTCAAATTGAGGTAGTTATTCATGTTTATTGTATTTCGCGAGTGACGCAAGTTTTATACTGATATCAATTTACGTTGGTGCCGTTCAATCCACCTCGAAAAAAGTGTGTTTAATCTCCACGAAATAAATGTAGAATATTCTCAGTTAAAATCAAGACTTCGTCGAAATGTTCAATGGCGTAGGTACCCCCAATAGCTCGTCTGCAAACTTCTGCATATGAATACTTAATATTTTTTTGTCTGTACATTTTTTTCTACAAGGTCCATTTTCTGGATAAGGAACGTTTCCAATCCACCAAGCTTCAAGTACATCTAATGGCACATACCTATTGTACTCCTGTCCTGCTCCGCAACATGTTGCTTCAGACTCAGCAGCCCGTGTCTGTAACCACCATCAACCGCCGATAATGTTGTTTGATGCTTATTAGTGAACACCAGTACGGTATAAGCCTCGTCGTTGGAGAAAACAGAAAGACAAAATATGCGAGCATGATCTGCAGAAAAACTCAGTACGCAAAGAAAGCGTGGTAAATTAAAAAATTCTGTTCATAACCCGTAATGAATGTTTTAATTGTTATAACCAACTAAATTAGTTGGTTCATTTAAGCTGCATTTTCTGAAATAAGTTTAGTCGAAAGTAATATAATATTGAACTAATTTGCATGAAAATAGCAAACCTTATACCTGTTTTATTAAGCTCTTTAATTAGTTTAGGTAATCTGGTTTATGTAGAAAAGTTACATGTAATATAATTAAACATGTCAATCAAAACAGTTCAACTGTTTAACTGAATCGCAGACTTGGTAGTAAAAGTACAATTTTTGTACAAGTGGCCTTATTCAACTTCAGGTAACTCTATCCCTACTTTCTGAACTTAAGGCGACTCAGTGAGTTTCAAGCCATTTACAAGGGCTCAGCTGATTCGAAACTGACACTCCATTTTTGAATGAAATTCATACAGTATGTTCAGAAGTTAATTGCCTAGGGTTCTTTAGGAGCACTTTTTGAAATCTTGTATTTGCACAAGTTTTATGATGGGTTGTCGTGCGCACTTTTTTTGTTCAACTTCGCGATTTTTTTAAAAAGAATCTAGTGAAAAAAAATTAAAAAGTGGCTCTATAGCACCCTGTGGAGTTTTGTTTTCAGCACACTATGAAAATTTCATTCAAAAATATCAAAAAATAAAGCGTCAATTTTGAAGCACGCATACCTCTACAAATCGTATTTTAGACGAATTTTGTCTACTGTTTCGTGCTGTCAATCCAAGCGTTGCGGCGCAATGTACGGACTAAGAACGGACGCATTCAGATAATTTGGTGGCCCTATACCATATAATATCGTATAGATAAGTCGTTCTGCAAATAGGTATTCATAATCGCGATCGCTGATACTCCTCGATTTTAAAGCCGTTTTACTTCCCATGCCAGTGGCGAGGAAGTATTGTAATCGCGAAAAATTTCTAAAATGAGATGTTTTTTTAAGTCATATGACATCTACATCACGAAAAACTATATCATTCATCATCAACTTGGAAATTACTGCTCGGATTTTTATAAAATTTCCACATGGGGTAACTAGTATGCCAAACCTTTGTAGTTTTAGTCCAATGGCAAGGATGCTATAGGCAAAAAAGAAAAAGTAACAATTGCTGAAACTCCGTTTTTGACGTTACAGGGGTTCCTTATCATTGACATAAAAAAATGTACTGCTTAAAAAGTGGGGTTGGGGGAAGGTGATTCTAAGGCCCGTATCGTCAGTCGTCCCTACAATTGTAGGGCGCCTTTATGGCCTCCTTGATTGTCATAGTATTCTGCTTCTCTGGGTCAGAACTCTATTTTGAGGTCTATTTGCATCAAATTGTGCTTGCTTTTGAGTTATACCATGTTTTATCAGCCTGAAATTTCCTAAAATTTAAAAAGAAAACATATCTTCACAATAGGAGAGCGCTGACGCTGACACGGGACAAGTGTAATCTAGAAATTTTTGAAGGAGAGAAAGGAGGATGACAATCAAGGAGGCCATAAACGCGCCCTACAATTGTAGGGACGACTGACGATACGGGCCTAAATGTTGCATCTTTGATATCAGTGAAACACGTTCTATTATTAAGAAGCTTCTGGTCAGAGTGATTACAGGAAATTTAAGTAACGAAAATCCGACGCCAGTAGGGAAGAATGAATTCGGATATCACTCCAGTCAAGTATAGGGGAATTTAGCGTGGAACTTTAAAATTATCGATATGTCAAGGAAATATGTTTTTGAGAACGATAATTTGGTAGATTATATACCTGCATTTTCATTTGAATTTGTGTTCTGTAGTTTGTGATGTTTTTCTGGAAATAAGCAGGACGTAATTGTCTAAGGTGCTATCAGAGCTTTTTACAAAATTTTGAGTTTGTGCAAGAATTATGGTGGGTTGTGCTCAACTTTTAAAAAGATCCTAGTGGATAAAATCGAAAAACTGGATCGTTAGCACTCTGCGGACTTTGTTTTTAGCACGCTGCAAGAGTTTAATTTGGAAATAATAAAAAATGAAACGTAAGCTGTGAAGTGCAAATCGGTTTTTGGGCGAAATTCGTCTACTGTTTCGTCCTGCCAGTCCAAGCGACGCGACGGTGCGTTCCGACTAAGAAAAAATGTTCAAGTAATTTGATATCTTTAGTAAATTAAATTCAAGAACTCAAATTCTAATTCGTTTATTCATGTCAATAAACACAATTATGTTTACAAGGGTCATGTGGTACATGGTAACAATTGCATGAGGGTCATAAATTATATTATGCTGTCAAAATAAGAGGAAACAGTTAGGTAGTTTTTGCAAAGCAATAAAGAGGTAGGCTTATACCTGGATTAAGTACATTTCTTGTCTACTGTAATAGGTAGATGGAGGCGATGCTGCCAGAAATGGATTTGTGCGATCAATAAACAAACCACAAGACTGAACTGCGGTGTCCAATGATTTTTGTATTGCCTTTTTTATTGCGTTACTACGAAACCCTGTTGGGTATACGATGGAGTTTACTAGAACTTTACAGCCTGTTGTCTGCCTTCTTCTGCAAACTTCACCAAATCGAGACGCTGTCAACCTTATCCTCCGATGAAGGCGCCACAAAGTACAGTCCTGTGATTTGGTGACTTGTTCGATCTGCAAAATCTCGTCGACACTTTTTTTGTTTCCCTAAAAGTTCTTGCCTAGCAACCTCCAAACCAATGTCGTTCATGTCAGGTCTTTGACAGAATTCGCCTTAAAACTATTCATTTTCTTTAAACTCACTGCATTCGTAATTAATATGGTCGCATATGACCTTTTATTGTCCATTATCAACCTTCATAAAAAAAGGCACTCAAGAACAATCACACCAACAAGAGTACAGCACAACAATTCAACAACACAATATCGACGAACAGTAACAAGGGGAGAAAAATACTTAATGATCACTTGCTGAGTACCAAAATAGGAAACGGTTTACAGGCTAGATCGCTAATCGAAATCCGACTCTGTTATTATAAAAATTTACCTTGGTATGTACCCGCAGTCATCCTTTCCTCTTTTAAAGTAGAGCCGACAATCGTCTAGGGCCAGCCCACCGTCGTTTCCTTTTCAACCCCCTCCCTCCCCCCGTTACCTCAGCAGATGGTGCTCGTGATTGTAGGAGCCCCGTTAAAACAAAGGATTGCTTCTAGTGAATGGTGGTCTAGTATAACCTGCTTCTGAGCAATGAGACAAATAATTCCTGTGTATAATAAGTTCACAATCAATGAAAATCAGAAATATCAAATTTGTTTAGGGTTACAAAATTCGGAAGTTTTCATTTTGATTGGAAAATATCAATTAGCAACATCAAGTTTTCCAAAGTTTTTGATATCTTAGAGGTGCCAGAGCACAGTTATAGAATCCGTCATTCAGAAAAATGCAATGTGTTGTTTTATACGTCAAATATTATCCAAATATACTTTCTAATCTAAATAAAATAATTTATCAAATAAGCAAGTACCTACCACTAATTAGACATATTTAATTCATGATATTCAATTGTTTTACTTGGAGCAGGTTATTAGTTCATTAATGTTAAATAAATTGGCGAACTCAATCTAATTAAACTGTTTAATAAATTTGATTATATGATTGCGCTTTGAGTTTGTTAAACAAGTTCCATAGATTCAAAAAGGCGTTTTAGAGTACGGAGCTTATCTAAACTAATCGATCTTATTAGATGACACATCATTAATTCGTTTAATTGACTTAGTTAAAATTTTACTTGGTTTGATTAATTTTTTCCTGGATGTATATGGTGAGCAAATTGTGATAGCTCTGAAAAACGCTACCTACAAATACTCGTACACTGACAATGACAGAAGACATACATGCCACTGGCCTACACTGAAAAGCAAAACCATTCTGAACGAATAGAAGTCACGCATCGTCACTAAAAGGACGAATCGTCAATCACGCGGAATATGAACCATTCTCAAGGCTACCGTTCAGCCGGTCTATCATTCAATTTTGCAAACACGCTATTGCTGGTAGCCTTGAGAATATCTGGTATTCCGGATGCTTGACGGGTCGTTATTTCAAGCGAATGAGCTGAACATGCGTCAAGCTTTGGCGAACCATTTGTAGGTGGCATTTATTTATTTATTTATTTATTTTCAACAGGTGAAACCCAATTACATGAAATGCTGAAAAAAATAACATTTAAAGAGACATGGTTCTTGAACTTAAATCTATAATATCACACATTCTAAATAAGATTGGATGATCTATAGCAGTGAATAATCGATGCACTGTAAATATCACACGATTCAGTAACACTGTTCATGACGCAGCACATTAGAGAGAGATTAATTGGCGATTTTTTCATAACATTTGTACGGCCAGCTTGACAATAGAATGCCGTTTGTTGTCGACTCCCTAGCCTTGGAACGCCGAATCATATTTTTTCAAGTAAATTTTGACAGTCAATTTCATTGTGAATGAGTCCATACAAAAACGACAAAGCAAATATGTTTCGTCTTGTTGACAGTGAATCCAAATTGAAAAACTCTAATAGGGCACTATGGTCACAACCTCTTTCTGGATGAGAACCTGTGCATTCAAGGTGAAAATACTTTAAAGCTTTACGTTAAATGGCCTCAAGGATCACGACAGAATTTTGGTATATAGGAGACCAGATCAGAGTCGCATACTCCAACTTGGTCCAGACAAAAGTAAAAAATAAAGTCATTACTGTATCAACATTGGAGAAACCCTTCCAGTTTCTGATACAGAAACCAAGTAGACGAGTGGCAGCCGACGAGATATTGAGTATATGCTCAGTAAACGTTAGCTTGGTATCAAAAGTGGTCTCATAAGAGGTGCATCTGTCTATAACCTCACCATTGATGTTATAATTATCATAAACTAAATTGTTAACCTTTCTTGTATAAGTCATAACTTTACATTTCGAAACATTCAGACTGAGACAGTTTCGTGAACACCATGACGAAATTAGAGCTAAGTCATCTTGCAACATGACGCAATCGTCGACTGTCTTGACTGATGTGCAGATTTTAAGGTCATCAGCGAAAAACAAATGGAAACACTTCAGTTCAAAGACAAGTCATTAATAAATATCAAAAACAATAATGGACCTAGATTTGACCCTTGAGGTACCTGGACGTGGCCCGATAGTAACTCGACCTATGACCACCATATTCGACAAATAACCTTCTATCTGTCAAATATGAATTCATGAGCGACAGCATTGCATCAGACACACCCACTGTTTTAAGCTTATCCAGAAGTGCATAATGATCAACTTGATCAAACGCCTTCTGAATATCTGTGTAGATGACATCAACTTGTCGCTGACAGTCCAGTACTTCAGAAATGTACTGAGTAATTAGAGCCAAGTTGGTGACCGTAGATCTGCCTCTCATAAACCCATGCTGATTAACAGAGGCTGCACCCCTGACCGAGCAGTAAACCGTTTCATAAGCGATGATCTCAAACAACTTGCTGAAATTGCACACGATTGCTATTTGGCGATAGTTGGAAATATCAGAGATATTTCCACCTTTGTGACTAAGACATATTTTAGAGGTCTTCCAGATATTTGGATATGTCTCTGATTTTAGAATTAGGTTGAATATCGAAGCCAGCGGTTTCGCTAGTATATGAATGCAATCTTTAACGAAAAAACTTCCAGACGTCATTTTGTTCTTTAATCTTTTCGAAGCCCTAATTACGTTTTCTTCACTTATACTTTTTTAAAGATATGATATCGGTAGAGTTATTTGTTGGAGGAGATGACCCTAGTAGACCAGACGGGATAAAAACTGTTGAAAAGAAGGTAGCAAAACTGTCCACTATATCCTGAGGCGTAACGCAGACATTGCCGTTAAGCGTCATCCTTGGGGGATTCTAGATTGCTGTTTTTTGATCTGGGCAAATGACCAGAATTTGCTAGGATCATTGACAATATCATCCTCAACCGATTGGACGTAAGCGGAGTAGGCAACACTGATCTGGCTCTTAATGAGCTTCCTAAAATTACTAAACTGATCATAAGAAAACTTAGTACCGTCACGTTTCGAGTTCCTTCTTGCTATCTCTTTCTTCTTGATATTAAGTATAACTTCACATGTGAACCATTGCATTTGTCAGTGTTGTCTTGTGTTATGTTACAGACGGTTTCCTCGCCACATGCTGTGGAGCAAGTTTTGTTGTAATCACCCCTAGCCATCCTTTCAGAAAACTGTTCTGTATAAAATTTTGTGGAAAATATTTAACTGGCTATCTATGCATTGATTTAACTGTGGCTATTCATTCAGATACAAAACAGACAAGAATGCGTTGATAGTGTCCGTGGTGAGATGTCGAGATCTACCAGCGAAGGACACGAATCTGGGTTCCAGTGATCCATACGTGAAACTACAATTACTACCTGATAAGCAACATAAAGTCAAGACTAGAGTGCTGAGAAATACAAGAAACCCCGTATATGATGAAGATTTCACTTTCTATGGAATTAGTAAGTGATATAAGTGAATTGTACACCTCAGTGACATATTGTTTTTTAGCTAATATCATGCCTTTCAGGGGATGTGGAGACACAGCTTCGAACATTTTCTTGTCTAAAAACAATGTCGTTTCAAGTTCAAATTCAAATCCAGTTGGAGTGATACTCGGCAGCGAGAAATTGAATTGTGCTTACCTTGCTATCGCTCTTGACTTTGAGGGCCACGTACTTGATTTTGGTCAAAACCATATTCAATCTTCTCATCTCATGCCACAAAAGCGATTAGGTTGACCATCAAGGCCACAGTACAAGGCTTATCATGATCTGCATTCTGATTATGTTGAAGATTCTACTTCGACCTGTTCTCCTTAGCACGTCCCTGATCTTGGTCAAGAAGATATTCGAGGCTGTAACTCCATACTTTATTTTTTATTTAGTCTCCTTGAAACGGCATTCACTCTATTCATTGTTTTAGGTTTTAACCAGCTATCCAACATCACACTGCATTTCGTAATCCTTAGCTTCGACAGATACAGCAGAGATGACATCATAGGTGAAGTATTCTGTGCTCTAAATACCGTAGATCTCACTCAGATAGAGACTCAGCAAATGGCAGTTTGCAGAGAAATCCAACCACGTAGCTTAAAGGTAAGTCAGCTCTTACGTTAACCGCGTGTAGGCTTGCAGTTTAGTACCTATGATGGTGCAGTCTCCTCAAACGAAAAGCCTTCAGTCTGGCACAGTATAGCAAAGTGTAGTCATGGTATGCGTGTACTAAAAAAACGTATTGAAAGATGTAAAATCCAGATAGGGTAGAAAACCTTGAGCACGGCAACACATTAAAATGCGTCCTAAATTAGTGATGCCCCTTTGCGGTGCATCTAGAACAGAAAAAACAATGTTACAAGTTCTCATGAAAATATACTACCAGGCACATTTACGAAGATTCATCATGCATTCCCCAAAATAAGGCACTGGTTATCGCCTTTTCTTAAATAACTTTGAATTTATGATGAATAATTCGAGAAAATGTGCATGCATAGTAACCAGTTAGGATCTTATATGTCCATTGCAAACAATTGACTCGTTTACATTGCCAGAGTAGGATTAGGCCTCACATAATATTACTATTTTTCCAGCAGAGTCTATAATGCTGGCTCAGTGATCGCATTTGTGGAGAGCCTAACCTTTCAGCTCCTTCTCTTGCTTGACAACGATAAGGTGCATTGTTTTTGAGGAATATTTCCCTCATGTATAAACAATGCCTTAAGAGGTGTGGAATTATCTCAAAATTCCAACGAATATTACCCTCATGTATAAGAGGTGTGGAATTATCGCAAAATTACAGCGAAAATTGCCCAGTAGGTATCGAAAATTTCCCTACACGACCGTATCTATAATCAAAATCACGAAAGATAACTATTACGTCATACCATTAATTGTACTGAAGTAATCAATGGACGTACGTCTATGATAAAATGACGATGTCAGGAACATAATGACATCAAATTTATATTATGATTTTGGGAAGTTAGGTTGAGTGATACCTTAATAATAATTTTTGTGGGGAGTTTTTGTTTTGAAAATAACAGTTATGAGTAGAATACCTTAAGACAGGAACACCAAAGTATTACTCCAACATAACACTAACCTGCTTTAACATAACCTAACTATTCATCTTTCAGATATGATCGATCATACAACATGACAACATCGCTGATCTTTGTCGGATACATGCAAATCAGCAATACAGTTTGCTTAGACAATAAAATTCTGTTTATCTCTGTTTAACATATCTGAAGCTTCATTAAAAATATTCACAAATCGATGTCGTTTGTCTTTACTACAGACTAAAATGATGACGTGATGGTCATCTTTCGTGATTGCGACTATATAATGGGTGTTTTTTTTGCTAGCATCTTTTTGGCAACACTGTTTTTGACAGATGACGCGTGAATCGTGTCTTGTGTCATTGTCAAACTTGTTCAGTTTGGTCTATAATTTAACCATGAATCGACTTACGAACGAACAAAGCTTGCAAATTATTGAATTTTACTATCAAAATTCATGCTCGGTTAAGAGAGTGCATCGAGCACTGCTTCCAATTTATGGGCAATTTGGTCGACCTACTGAGGGAGCTATTCGGAAGCTTGTGACTAAATTTCGAACCCAGTTTACATTATTGGACATTAAACCACCAACACGCAGACATAGAGTGAGGACTGAAGAAAATATTGCGGCTGTATCCGCCAGTGTTAGTGACGACCGTGAAATGTCGATTCGCCGCCGTTCGCAGCAATTGGACCTCTGTTACTCCACTATACGTGGAAAATTTTGCGACAGGATTTGGGTGTAAAACCTTATAAGATACAGCTGGTGCAAGAATTGAAGCCACACGACCTCCCACAACGTTTCCAATTTGGTGAATGGGCGCTGGCAAAGTTGGAGGAAGATCCACATTTTTATCGAAAAATTGTGTTCAGCGACCGTGCGATGATAACAAACTTTTTTTGCCCAAACTGGAAGAGCTGGACTTGGCTGACATGTGGTCAATTGGCCGCCTAGATCGTGTGATTTAACACCGTTGGACTATTTCTTGTGGGGCCATGTTAAGGCTAATGTCTACAGGGATAAACCAGCAACTATTGACGCACTGATAGCCAATATTGAAGCATTTATTCGTGAGATACCGGCCGATATGTTGGAGAGAGTGTGCCAAAATTGGACCTTGGGTGCATGGGCCATCTAAAGCGGAACCGTGGCCAACATTTACATGAAATAATCTTTAAACATTAAATTATATCGACCGTTCTATCGACTCAAATAAAGATTTAATCGTTTTTTCAAATTTTTTGTGTTTTTTTGAAAATCAAATCCTATACCTCTTAAAAAATCACCCGTTAGTTGCGATTAATGAAATGTGCATTTGTCATCTTGACATGCATAAATAAGGGAAACTCTGGAAATATTGTACCGAGTTACACTCGTGCATCTAAATATAACTGATAATTTTCCATTCAAGCATGTAACAAACCGCATTCGGTTATTTTCATAATTTGGCGAAAGAGCTCACTCCGAAGGGGGAAGCTCGTGCAGTTTTTAGACAACACGCTTTCATGGAAAATTATCGGTAATTTTGATGCTCTGGTGTAATTACTTCCAAAAACAGCATTGTTTAAGTACAATTCTAACAATCATGATATGAGATTCAATATTCCTTTGTTTATAAAAATTCTAATAGCATACCCATAATCAACGACCAAGGACATACATTTTTAGACTAATCACCTCGTCTGCAACGGCTGGCCTTGTCAATATAAAACAAAAATATATTTACGGCTAAGGTATCGGTTTTTCCAAAAATGCCATTTATTCTTGAGCCTTTATTTTTATCGCACTTGATTGTTCATCATCACTATTACCATATGAGGCCTCAATTTCTGTAGCGTTCAACGGTTGTTGTATGAGAAAACAATTTACAGCAGCGCTCTTTAGGAAACTGTATCTACATATAGCGCTTTTCAAAAAGGCTTATCTTTTGAACGCGTCAAGTTAGCAATTTGGAAGTCGAGATGGTGAAATTGAAGCATGAATACTACTCGCATATTTTAGCGTAAAGGTGCCAGTTGAAAATTCCAAGGTGGCGGTAGAGTTTTGTTGTTAAGCACTTTTTTAAGTGGAACTGTGCGCCTCACTTTGAGACTTCGCATAAGTAGGTACTTTATAACCCTGTAATGTGAAAACGTTCTCTGCCAAGATAGGGTAATACAGTCATAGTTGAGAGTGTTTGTATACTGCATTGCTCATAGCTCAACAACGAATCATAAAAACGCGATAGTATGTTATATCAGTCTTGTTCTTTTCGATCGGCCTATTTGAATCTGTTTAAAAAATACATCTGTTAATTATTTAAAATGATATATTTTAATTTTTAAAATTATTGTTATACAAAATCAATATATATTAGTAACTCATATTAAATTTTCATCATTCACATTTTTAATACTTTTGCACCTTCTGTATCCTCAGTTGTTGATAGTATCATAGTTTGAATTATATTTTAACGTTATTTTTTAGATTCGGTCGCAGGGACGTGGAGACCTCCTGGTGTCTCTATGCTGGCAACCCGCTGCCAACAGACTGACTGTGGTAGTGCTAAAGGCACGGAATCTCCCCAAGATGGACGTTACCGGCCTGGCAGACCCATACGTCAAAATCTACCTACTATACAACGGTAACCTTAGGTTTTTTATTTTGAAGATACTAAGGATGAAAAAGGGTCCCAGTCGATTTTTCTAAGAATTCAGTATGATATACATATTATATTTCTTGCCTTTCTGAATATAAGTTCCTGAAGAATCTTAGCAGCCTTATGAATAGTTTCTGATAAAAAGTCGGCTGGAGCTTATGATAATGACGAGGTTTTACCTGATGACTAGGCTACCGAAAAAGTTGACCCAAACCGTTCGATATGACGGAAGCAGAGCATAACAAAAAACTCAAATTAATAGACCACAAATTACAATATCTTGAAGCTATGTTCGTATTAGTGGGCTTTTTCTTTTTCTTTCGCCTTTAAAATCAACACGACCTTGAGTTCACTTTGTAAAGGTCAGAATCAAAGACAACTAAACAACCTTGACCATTAAATAAATTTCATCGGGAGCATTATTTAAAAAATCACTAATTTGTGTACTCATAAAAATCTCAGTGTTCTTGAGCTTGTAACATTTCCCATTTTATTTCAGAAATTAGCTTGAAATATTTTGAAATGTCTACATTATTATTAGATCATAACATACATTTAACCATTGAATAATTCGACCACACTGTTGATGGATTGTGTTGTTGTGCCAATTCCGAAAAATAATCCAATAACACCGTCTCCGACATGCATGTTTTTTTCATCTTCCATTCCATGAATCTAGTCTTTTAACAATTGTATAATAAATAACTAGTGTTACATTTTCCAACGCCTCGCTGTCGCAAAATGTAGCAATAACTCAGGATGTGTTGATTTTATCACCATCGGTGGAAATGAAAGATGGTAAATAAAAAAAAACACTAGGTCGCATCAAAATTGAAATAAATAATTCTAATCAAAATGAAAACAAAATATTAAATTAAAAGTTCGAACAGACCCCTTCTTGGGTTTGACAGTAACCTAACCTAATATAGAAGCTCGTGCGAACAATTTCTGGTGTAACATATTGGCATGCGGTATAGTGTATCACCTTATGCGACACCCTTGCTATGGCAATCTGGTGATGACCTTCGCTCTTCAGTCGGCTTCTATCTTTTTCTAACATGTGTTGATACACACTTCTCGCGCTTCTCTCTCGTACACATTGAGCTCAAGCCGTTACTTCTGCTTCCATGACTAGCTAAGCAGACAGCAATCCAACAAAAGATAGAACCTCTGTTTCCCATTTTAAAATGTAACGACCTAAGCAATTTCGCGTTTCACAGCGTCGTATTGCACATACCTTACAGACGGAAGCGTTCCGAAAATGCAAATCTCAGTATCAATTCGAGGAAAAATAACAATAAATATTATGTGTTGAATTCTTTTTAGTGATTATCCCACTGGGTGGTTTATACAATATTCTATATTTTGTAAAAGATATTACTAACAAATAGGATTTTAGGAGTAGGCTGAGCATTACGCACACATACTGTCCATCCGGTGTGAAATCCGGTTATAGACTTTTTCTAATACGAGTACTCTAGATATACTGGTCCTTATGGTATGTATGTATGATTCCAGGACAACGACTTACCAAGAAAAAAACACATGTGAAAAAGAGGACACTCAGTCCAGTCTTTAACGAAAGCTTCGTGTTTGACATACCCCAGGGGACTGACACATTGGAAAGCGTCAGTCTAGAATTTTTGCTATTGGACTGGGACAGGGTAACAAAGAATGAGGTAAGAAAAAATTAACATTCCAAAAGTAAAAAAATCATGCACTGTTTCCGACGATGGTTCACCAACTCAACACGTCTCAAGAAATAAGAGCTACTCACTTAGTGACATCTGCGGGACATATAAAGTCTCCCATATGTCAAGTAATAAAAACGTAGCACACATCGCTTTATACTGCGTGACAAGAAGTTATTTTGCATAAAACAGTTAGGATATTTTAGTGTACAGTAAGAGCAGAACAAATGATATCGGAACTACATTTCAAATTAGCTAAGAGTTGAAAATAAATCAACCAGCAGTTGCTATACAGTTCTAATACACTACTTGGTTCACTATTACCAACAGAAGAAAAAATAAATAAACTCCAGCTCGTTGAAGTATTGTGGAAAAAGGTGTATGAACGATATTTTCCAAAATAATTCGAAAATAATTATAAAGCAAATGAGTATAGTATTTTCTATAGTCTTTCTGCTACTGGATTGTTGCTGAACTCAACAAAGTAACTTAATCCCAGTCTAATAATTTATTTTAAATTGGGATTGCTTTCATGAGTAACCATTGCTTCATTAAGAAAATCGTGGTTAAGCTAACAAATAGAACGAATGAAGACATATTACGAAGTCTGACAATGAGAGAACTTATTCTACTTCTAGGTTATTGGTAGACTGGATTTAGGTGGTCCCAAATGTAGTGGATCAGCACTTCATCATTGGAACGAAGTCTGCAACTCACCTAGGCGACAAATCGCTGAGTGGCATAAGTTAAGAGAGTAGAGTGTTTGAAAGAAATAATCTTCTGGTTGTATATTTTCAAATGTATAAAGAAGTCAGGTTCAATTTCAGAACACCGAAATTACTACAATTCAATATTTAGTCGTAGGATAACGTAGATTTTTGTTGTTATCTGCGATATTATTCGTCTCCAAAATTCTATATGATAAAAATATCTCTACATATTCGAACTATGTTATAGTTTTACCCGCTTGCTGAACAGAGGCTAGAATGTGATTTTGCCCTTGCCAAGCAAGAGCTGGCTCTATTCGTATCTTTATCTTGTACTTAAGTTGTGAAATTGAATCTACTCCTGTCACACAGCATAAAATGTACCTAGAACTAAGCCATTCTCACAAATACCTTCTAGGCAAATCATACATCTCGAGCTTGCCTATGAAAGTTTCACAATACCTACCAGTTTTTAAGGCGCAGTAGCTCAAAGGCAAAGATATAGCTCCAAACAGTGACGGAAACTAGTTTACTTGTATGAATTATACACCAGGGTATGCTGCTAGAGTGCAGAAAGCACTGATAGTTTAAAAAACTATCTGAAACCAACGAATCGAAGGTAAATGACCCTGTGCCATACGGACAAAGTGAAACGTAATATCATTAACTTGACTGGGACATAAATAAGTCGGCTCCATAAAGCAGCGGCCCACTGTCACAGCAATCACCGTATGTTAGAAACAGGTATAGTTGGGTAATAACATGCATGACGCATTATGCGCTACTATTGCGGCGTATACGAGTATCTGGACGAGGACCTCACCGTGATCAAAGACACATCGCGTTAACAGTGGCGTACGAGTACAATGCATTATGTAACTCTTCCATTTTGGTTCCCGAATATAGAGACAAGCGTCATCAGGGTATCAAGTAACTAATATATAATATGGTTTATTTGTGAATATGAAGGTATTAAAAAATTATGTGATTGTACACAGGTAGCAGAGAGGTGGCGGAAGTCTATCACATGGTTAATACTCACAGTAGTCTACCTATTAACTGACTGACTCTTTGTATTTCCTACTGCGTCTTGGAGGCGTACTTATTGTAGTAGCATACATAACTGTGCAATGTGTGTACTATAATTGCGAACCAAACTTTGTTTCTTTTTTCAAACAACCACTTAAGGCAATTTTGGACTATTTTCCTGATGAGTGATTATTATAAAGATTACTCAGCAAACATGGAGCTAACCATATGTTGTATATGTGTGTGAAGCACATATTTCTGCAACTACTACACCACAACTACTTTTACAAATAGGAAATCAACACTATGGGTCCCTAATTCTATACAGCATCACTCCCGGCGCAAAATACGCATACATCGTGAGGTCTGCACAAAGCCTGGTGTCGTAATGACATTAATTTTTGTTCACAATATCTAAAAGCAAAGTCAGATCTCTATTTGCCTAAATGTTTCCTGAGGCACTTAGCACTTCAAGATAAAACACTTTCCGTTGTAAACAAATAGTTGAGTAATTTTGTAATATTTTAACTACAAGGACTCTGAAATGCTTCTAATGCCATAATATGATAAACACCGTATTTGGTTTATGTGTTATGCCATTAAATTAGCATTACATGGAATGAAAAATTAGGAGCTTCTAAAGTACTGTCGATAGGTCAAATTTTGATAAAATTTCAATGGAGTTAGAATTTCGTGTCGCCATTCGCTGACTCTAAGTTTCGAACATCTGCGGATGTTTGAGAAACGTTATGTTCAACAGTGTTCAGCTTACCAGGCGGACATATTCCTTACAACTTGTTGACTAACACTTGTTATATGTCGTACCAGTATCAATCACTATTGTCACTTAATAATGGAGGTATAATAAAAGGAAGACTAGATCACGAAACTAACTACTTTTGAGATTTTCCATCATTTGAAATAACCGCATTGTAACAAAAGTTATACGTCAAAATTATAACAACCTCCAAGTCAATAGCAATAGAAAGCAGCTCACCTTACTGTTAATAATTCAGCCCATATTAATCGAAATACCATCGACAAACGGAATAAAATACTTTCTATATTATGATCCATCTTATTATACCTCACTACACCTCTGAATCTGAAGAGGCTACACCATCCAGCAATGGTCAATGATACTAGTGAACCGTATTAGTGTTGAGATGACACCAAACTAGATCAATTTTGACCAAAGCGCAGCATGTACCCATGCAATACCACAGTAACGCAATTCCTGGCGATGCTAAAGTTACGAAACCGAAACAAGGTGTAATAACACTGCTTTGATTACCATAACACGAATTGCATAAAGGAAATGAGAGGAGAGTCGAGTCCCAAAGAGTGAGGCTAATCACCCTGTAGGTTCAGAGCACTTCTGCAGCTTGATGAGGACACGCATTAAGCAGTCCCTAAGGCCCGTATCGTCAGTCGTCCCTACAATTGTAGGGCGCGTTTATGGCCTCCATGATTGTCATACTTCTTTCTCTCCTTCAAAAATTTCTAGATTACACTTGTCCTGTGTCAGCGTCAGCGCTCTCCTATTGTGAAGATATGTTTTCTTTTTAAATTGTACTAAATTTCAGGCTGATGAAACATGATATAACTCCAAAGCAAGCACAATTTGATGCAAATAGATGTTTGTGACATAACCTCAAAATAGAGTTCTGACACGGAGAAGTAGAAAACTATGACAATCAAGGAGGCCATAAAGACGCCCTACAATTGTAGGGACGACTGACGATACGGGCCTGAAAGACTGTAACAAGAGAAAGCCCAGGAAATGAAAGGAAGAAAGGACAATTAGTTCAAAGCCTGGCAAAAGAGTCTACCAAAGAACGGAGCCTGCATCTGCAGAGGATCTGCTGGGATTTAGTGGGAATGCCATAGTGGCTATAATGGTTCTAAATCGATATATGAGGCTCTTGGGTCTAGCAGAAGAGATTACTTGCCGCTCCTAAAGCATGAGGAGACCTTGTACATATCTTGCGAACACTGCGAATGTCTCAACCACGCAGCATCACTTACACAACACGCAGCCCGTAACGAAAATTCAATCTTAGAAATTTGCCTAAAAATTTAGCGATCCCTTTTGATACTTATGTTGAGTGTTGAATATTCAGTTTTGATAATATTTTGGCCTGTATCATTGGTCAAAATAAGCCAATATGGTGGTCTAGAGGCCTGAACGTTTTATAGATTCAACAGGTCCACTTGATGTTGTAATCTCGGCCGCTATGTTGATCTTAATTAAAATACAACAAATTTTGGATTTGTTGTAGTCAAGTAGCTCTCAATGTCTTTGATGCAAAATGGCGTATATCTTGGTGCTTCAATTGTCAGATTCTTGAATGTACGTTTCCAACACTCCAAGTTACATTCATATATGCCAGAAGCATGTTGCGTAACGTGTGTTAAATAGAAACGCACGATACTGTCACAGGGCGCATGCTCGTCTCTGGAGATTTTTCGGCAACTAGTTGCACTGAACAAATTTCTGACACAAAGGTCGTCAAACAACGCATAACTACTTGCTGCAGTGTAAACTTGTCTTGAAGATTTCAGTATTAAACAATACTACGAAGTGGCTAGTTTTTTTGTGAAAGCATCTCAATCTCAAGTAAATAAACGCTTCTTTGTAAGGTGGTATACAGGAAAAAATGACCACTTCAAGATTGAAGAACTGATATTTTTTTGTGTCCCTTGAATGTATAACAAATTACTTATTTCTCGAATATTATACTTTATTCAGTATTAACCAATGAATTCGAATAGATAAGAAGAAATTGACTAGTTTAAGTGCATACTTTTGACACATTTCGGTACGACCGTCTACCAGGGTGACAGCGTTCTATCAGCATGATAATACTTACCGGTGGAAAGATCTACCTTGGGGTGTGCCACTCTTTGCAAATTATGCAAGACGTGCCAGGTCCTGAAATCGTGTCCGTATCCGAATTTAATGATACAACTGTCAAAAAACTAACTTATGTCAAGTGGGCTTGTGCTCTTTCATCCTGACTATAGATTGAGATTTTGGAGATAAATCGTGAGCTTGTTCCTTCTACCTAGTATGAATTCTTTGGTATTAACCAAGCATCCGTTTCATTGTGGATCACTGAGAATAAAGTTCATTAGGTTCAGGAGAAATCGGATCATTAGCTACTACTTGGCTCGAAATGAAAATTTATATTTGAATTATCTATGTTCACAAATCTTGTTGAAATTAACATGAACAAATGACGTTTGAAAAGTTTGCAACAATAACATGTATATTTCAGTGGCGGCTCGCCCCATGACGCAGCTGAAGCGCTGCTTCACCTGCAATTTCAAAAAAAATATATTTTTTTTTATTTTGAAATTTATAAAAAAAATTCATTTATATCTTAAAAAATTATTTTTCGGACATTCTTTATTTGTATTTGCGATCAACAGAATACTGAGAAACCCCGCAACCAACAACGCGCCTACGTTTGCGCTTAATTTGGCGTGTTGAAACAGAGACCTGAAGCAGCTTTATTTGCACCGCATTGCTGCGTCCAGTACAGATACGAGCAAATACGACGGTTGCCATGACAACGGCACGCGCGCTTCCGTTTTGGCCGAGGCAAGTGAAGCAAATTATGAATTTGCGTCTAGTCTGCTCTGCATTACTACCGATATCGTATTGTGTCGAGGTTAGTTTTCATTGTTTTGAACAATGTTTCCTGTCTATGATACGGTTTGTGTTATGTTGGAAAAATCGTTTTCTCAATGGAGTAATGATGATAAAAAAGACTTTTTAAACTCCGAAAAACCTTCTCCGATATTAAATGTAAATAAAACCGCTAAAGTTAAGGACAAAGTGTACAGTCGAAATTTTAAAAAATCGTGGTATAGTGAGTTTGCATGGTTATGTGGTAGCTATTATTTAAATAAACTTTTTTGTGTGCCGTGTTTGATTGTAAGTGTTAAAGCAACCGTGTGGAGCAAGTACGGTTTCAATGATTTCGGGAATGTGACTCGTGCTCTTCGTAAACATGAAGGATCATCGGATCATATGCGTTGCGCACTAGGTTTTTCAAAATTGAAGAAAAATCTCACTACTATTGAGGATGCTTTACGCGAAAATTCCAGGCTGTATATTAAACAGTTTAACGAAAACGTGCAACTTAATAGACGTTTCATGGAATTGCCAATACGCGCTGTCCTTTTTTTGGGCAAACAAGAACTGGCGTTTCGTGGCCACAACGAAGAGACGACTTCTATTAACCGTGGAAATTTCAAAGAGCTCCTAGAAGCATTTGTATCTATAAGCCCTGTAGACATTCAGGAGCACTACAAAAAAATTGCCTCAATATTTGCGGGCAATTCTAAAACCATTCAAAACGAAATTATTGACTGCATTGTCAAATGCATTGATGAATATGTGGAAAATGAAATAAAGGAATGCAGTTTTTTTTCCATTCAGGTGGATGATTCCACCGATATTGCCCACAAATCGCAGTGCAGCATAATAATCCGTTATGTCAATCTTGAAGGAAAACTTGTGGAGAGATTTTTAGGATTTCATGATGTAAGCTGCAGCCGAACATCTGAAGCATTATTTAACCTCGTGACAAGGTGTCTACAAAATTTTGATTACAAAACAAAACTCGTTGGACAATGTTTCGATGGTGCAAGCGTCATGTCCGGACAGTTAAATGGTCTTCAGGCTAAAATAAAGGAACAGGCACCCCAAGCAGTTTTTGTTCATTGCCTCGCACACCGCATGAATCTAGTGTTACAACAAAGTTGCAATAGTATTACAAAATGCCGCATTTTTTTTGCAACTATAAGTGGTTTACCGACATTTTTTCACCATTCTCCGAAACGAACTAACGTAGCAGACTCAATAATAGGACGTCGAATACCTGTTTCCGTTATTACGCGATGGACATCAAATTTTAAAGTTATCAGTTTTATAAATAAAGAGTGGGATTCCTTAAAGCAAGTGTTTACTGAAATTATTAATGATCCAACCTCCGATCAAGCCTCGGTTAGACAGAGCGACGGATTTCTAAATAAATTCCATGACTTCGAATTCGTGCTTTTGGTTGTTGTTTTTAACGAGATCTTTGGAATGACAGATATACTATTCGACACACTGCAAAAAAAATCTTTTGATATAAACCTTTGCATTAAGCAAATTAAAAGTGTTCAAACACAATTAAACAAGAAGAGAAATGAAGAAACATTTAAGAATATTTTCGAATTGGCTGCATCAAAAACAAGTGTACAAACGGAACACCGCGACGGCAGGACAAGAGTAACATTGTCTCGGGATCAAATTATTGAAAGATATAGAGTGCTGTATTTTGAAATTTTGGATACTATTTCTCTGCAAATCACGACCCGTTTTGTGACGTTAATGGACACTTCGAAGTTCAAAACATATTCAGAAAAATTTCCAACAGAAGCCCTAAGTAATTTGAAGGAGTTTTATTCAAATACATTCACAGATTTTCAGAGACTGAAAAATGAATTGCAGCTGATCTATAGCGATGATCAAGATCAAAATATGGAACCCCGCTTATTAAAGGAATCGCTATTTGAGAATCGCAGTATCTTCAAGGAGGCATATAAGCTTTTGTGTTTAATACTGACCATTCCATCAACAAGTGTTTCGACAGAACGCAGTTTTTCATGCCTTAAGCGAATCAAAAGTTATCTACGAAGTACCATGTCGGAAGATCGGTTGACGAACTTGGCAAAAATATCGATCGAAAAAGAATTATTAAATGAACTGATAGTGTCACAGCCGTTTTACGATGACGTTATAAATAAGTTTGCTAATTTGAAGGACCGACGAATTGCTCTCATATATAAACAATGAAAAGTGCCTGATAATCCTGACTTTGTTTTCGAGTTACTGAATTTAGGTAAGTTATTTCATGTTTTTTTTTTGTGTATGCGCTCTACATGGTATGGGGGGGGTCGGTCAATCCTGCGTCACCTATTTGTAAAATCACGAGCCGCCACTGGTATATTTCTGATTAGCACTTTTCAAACCAGATATATGTGTATCTTAAATAGCTAAAATGTTTTTTCGTTGAATTTTGTAAATGTCGTTGCTTCATATCTACATATTATAGTTCAAACTGTGTAGGCATAGGACAGGTTACTTCATTTTTATGTAATTGTGTTTCCTCAATAGCCCCGCCAATGAAAAATATTAAAATACGTATTCTGCGCACATGAATTCCAGTGCATTTACACAAGACATGGGTTGTACTTCTCGGCACCACAAGATGCTTCAGCAGTCTTTAAGGCCCGTATCGTCAGTCGTCCCTACAATTGTAGGGCACCTTTATGGCCTCCTTGATTGCCATAGTTTTCTACTTCTCCCTGTCAGCGCTCTATTTTGAGGTTATCTCACAAACATCTACTTGCATCAAATTGTGCTTGCTTTTGAGTTATATCATGTTTTATCAGCCTGAAATTTCTTACAATTTAAAAAGAAAACATATCTTCACAATAGGAGAACGCTGACGCTGACACGGGACAACTGTAATCTAGAAATTTTCGAAGGAGAGAAAGAAGTATGACAATCAAGGAGGCCATAAACGCGCCCTACAATTGTAGGGACGACTGACGATACGGGCCTAAGAGTCACGGAGTGACCGATGAATCTGGTCAAATTTGAATAATTGGAAAAGGAGGTGCAGAAAAAGTCAAGAGTATATAAGACTTTTTTGATCACTTAAACGTAGGTTTGACCACAGCGTAAAATGCAACAAACTGGACTAAGAACCAACAAATGTTTTGAGTAGTTGCACATCGAGACAGCAACAGTTTGTTAGTTTTTACTATGTTACTATGATTGTTTTTATAGAAGCTTAGTGACTGTAATAAAATATTTTTTAATCTTAGAAGTGTGTTTTGTTCTAATTCTGTTGCCCTTGCTTCCCAAGTATAAACTGAGAAACTGTTGTGCCCCCAAACAAACCTACTTTGAAATTGATTCTGTATAATGTATGTACGATACATCTTTTTGGCATACGTTTGCCTCATTTGACTACCTCTATATTCGTCATTGTCTGTCAGAGCGATCCGTGGTTACACTATTGCAGGTAGGTAGGTCTGTGTTACCAGACAAAGTCAGGGAGGAAGAAGAGGAAAATAAAGAAGGAAAGGAGGGAGAGCAAACAAGAAAGAAGTGCATCAATTTGAGGGGTTCCTTGTCATTGCTAACTAGTGTTCGGTAATCTTAAATTGATCCTGAAGCTAATTTGAATATTGGTGGTTGAAGAAAAATTATAAATTTGGTTGTTTGGAAGTCGCCCGATTTAATTTTGTTCACAGTGTGAGCCGCTGTCTTGTGTGCTTGCGAACCTGCACTTGACTATAACGTAGCTGCGCTTGTTTGATTTACTCTCAGAGATAAGGAGGATTGTACGCAAGGTTCTGTTTTGCAAAACCTTCAGACAACCCAAATTCGTTTTGGCGAGCAAACTTATGCGGCCATAATACAAAAATACAAACTATGCAAAAAAGTGTCTGCGCTGTTGATGAAATGAGCATCTACGCTTGACAGTAGCTTGATAAATACAAAAACTGTCGGTTCGCTCATTCAATTTTATAAGCATCCTCTGCGGCTCCAAGAGGTACCTAATTTGATGGCGTATCGAAAACTTGAGGGTATTATCACAAACAAAATTTCGGATGTCTTTCATTATTGTTGGTTAATAATTTACACATCTCAGATGCATGTTTTCAAGAATTATCTGAAAAGTAATACAAAAAAATATATGTATATATATATATACGTATATAAGATCATACTTATACCACTGGTTGCCTGTTTGCAAGCTTACATTCTCTATGGCGTGCAAAAAACTGCTTGTGCGCAATAAAACTACACATAATGTGAAAAAGCATTTATTTCTCCAAATTAGAAAAAAATAGTGGCAAAAAAAAGCTATGTGGATTTGAACCTCCGTCCTGCGGTTCTGCAATCGTCGCTCTTTCCCATTACACCTCTTGGTTTACTGGATCTTTATACCACTATACAAGTACTTGACAGTGACAAATGTCAATCGAACGTTGGAGGAATACCAAATCTGTTATAAAGAATTAGAATGCTCTTGAAAACTATACAATGCTGAAACTTTAAAGAATGTATTAACAGCGAGCATTTTGCCTAATTTTTCAGATGGTCAGTTCGCTACAATTGGTTGATATTGGTCTACTGTTGATTTGTTTTCTCGAGTTAATTTTCCAATAATCTAAACTCGCAGTCATTTGAATAGTACGAGATTTCAGCCACTTTGCACATGCTACATAATAACTAGTCGAGATACAGTTTAGATCTGTACCATGTAAAAATTTCAGCTCTAAATATTTTTCGTCGCAACAAAAGGTGATGGACACATCCGCTTCATTTTAAAATGTATATAATGTATATTTTTTGTATATCGTAGCGAATCTGTTCAATTACTCGCAAATTAATACGAAATGTTTGAATTTGTTCAGAAGAAAAAAACAGAACCCTTCGTTTTTCGCATAAAAATAACAATAATCTTTTCGAATGGTTTGTGCTTTATGCCGGCAAGGTAAACTCATTTATTTTGCTATAAAATGCCCTATTGCTCAGTAAATTAAGTAAGTTAACTTATCCCTTTTGGTACAAAAATATGAGCTGTATCGCTCCAGGGCAAAACAACAACAAACTCGTCTTATCTCATTCCGCCCGTAATATTTTATAGTAGTAGTTTCAGATATACAGGTGATGACATAAATGTAACTGCAGGTCAGAATAAGAATTCGCACGTTGTTGCAATGTATTTTGCCATATTAAAATCCCATACAACAGTTAAAGTGATCAATCACAAATTTTTAGTTCCCGGACATACTCACATGGAATGTGATGGGGATCATGCTCTGACTGAGAGAACAAGAAAACGTTCAGAGACGCCAATCCATCATCCACGAAATTTTTTGACTTTGCAAAACTTTAAAAAACTGGACTACAGTTAAAAAGAAAGATGAAGCTGGCGATCCATTTTGTTGGCGTAAAATACGAGAAATAAAGGTTTAGAAGGCCAACATAGGCATCATGAATTTCAAGACAAGTGTCACCGACAATTGGAAACACTTGTCGTTTAGGAAACGGCAGGGGTATCACGTAACTTGAAAAGTGACATTATGCCGATTTTTTTTTGACATTATGCTGTTTTTTTACATTATGTAGGTTATTCTACAAGAGCACTTAGTTGTACGTGTTGCCTAAACGTCATGAGGCTTGTTATCAATCTTTGGCTCTGATGTGATGTAAAATCTGCTTCTGAGATGGCATTACTGGAGGTCTAAGCTTAAAATGTATATAATGTATATTTTTTGTATATCGTAGCGAATCTGTTCAATTACTCGCAAATTAATACGAAATGTTTGAATTTGTTCAGAAGAAAAAAACAGAACCCTTCGTTTTTCGCATAAAAATAACAATAATCTTTTCGAATGGTTTGTGCTTTATGCCGGCAAGGTAAACTCATTTATTTTGCTATAAAATGCCCTATTGCTCAGTAAATTAGTAGTGATGGTCGGAAGACAGGTGTTTTGGCACAAACAATTCCGTGGTGCCAGGGAAAAAGGGGATAAGTCAAAATTTGTTCAAAGTAGGATAAGTTCAAATTCAAATTGTATATTATGCTAGATTTCTCGAAAGCCTTTGACATGGTCAATCACCAGATACTATTGAGTAAATTGTCTTACTATGGTATGTCAGATATAGTTGTAAAGTTCTTCGAGTCATACTTGCTTGATCGGCAACAAACTGTGAAAACTGAACAGGGCATGTCCACTACGAAGCCGGTTCCTTCAGGAGTTCCTCAGGGTTCTGTGCTTGGTCCCTTATTATATCTGATATACACTGCCGATTTGCAAGATTGTATAGTCCATTCAGCCATGCATACTTACGCGGATGATACTCAGTTGGTGTTTGCCTTTGATCCGTCAGAGGTCGACGAGGTTTCTTTCAAAATCAATTTGGACATGACTAACGTGAACGATTATTGCAAGAAACACTGTCTTAAAATAAATCCTAAGAAGACTACTGCTATGTTGTTTTGTTCGAAAAATTCCTATCCAGTTGTGAAGGAGAGAATTAATATTGTGTTGGATCAAACACTCATCCCTCTTGTTGACTATACTAAAAACCTCGGAATAACTCTCGACAAAAACATGAGGTTTGATCATCACGTTTCATATTTGTCGAGAGTAACGTATATGCGCTTGAAACTTCTACATTCAAGTCGACATATTTTAAATTTTAAAACCCGTAAAAAGCTTTGCGAAACTCTTGTATTGTCAATTATATCTTATTCTCTTGTCCTCTATTATCCATGTTTAGATTATAATAACAAATGTAAGCTTCAGAAAATTCAAAACAGCTGCTGTAGGTTTATATTTGGTCTCCGTAGGTTCAGTCACGTTTCGGATAAAATCAGAGAACTCAACTGGCTGAAAATTGATAAACTATTTTTATATCTATTGAACGTCTTAACTCATAAAGTTCTGCTAACAAACAGACCGGCCTATCTTTTTAGCAAATTGATACCTCGTGGTAACTTCGTACCAAGGACTCTTAGATTTAATATTAATTTTAATATGCCGCTCCACAACACTTTTATCTTTGAAAGGAGTTATACCTATAATGCTGTTAAACATTACAATGCTCTTAACCATTCGCATCGATCCAAGCCAGTTTCTTCTTTTAAGAAATTAATGAAAAATCAGTTGCTGGAGACAAGTTAGTTCTCTGTGTTTATATATGTATATGATTGTCTTTTCCTGATTGTTTTGTGTATCTGTCGTTCATTTAATGAAACTATGTTTTTCTTAATTACTTTTTTTTTTTGTAACATGTGTATGTATTTTTCTTTCTTTTTTCTCTGCTTTGGGGTTAAGTGGAGGAGTAGCCGTCTGGCTAAACTTCGCCTCACTGCAGATAATAAAGGCATTATTATTATTATTATTATCTTTGTTACGGACAAAGTGAGGTATGTACTTATTCAAAATACAGCAGTGAAGTAATGTTCATAATGAGATATGTTCAAACAGGTCCCTGAAAATGTTCATGAGGAGGTAAGTTAACTTATCCCTTTTGGTACAAAAATATGAGCTGTATCGCTCCAGGGCAAAACAACAACAAACTCGTCTTATCTCATTCCGCCCGTAATATTTTATAGTAGTAGTTTCAGATATACAGGTGATGACATAAATGTAACTGCAGGTCAGAATAAGAATTCGCACGTTGTTGCAATGTATTTTGCCATATTAAAATCCCATACAACAGTTAAAGTGATCAATCACAAATTTTTAGTTCCCGGACATACTCACATGGAATGTGATGGGGATCATGCTCTGACTGAGAGAACAAGAAAACGTTCAGAGACGCCAATCCATCATCCACGAAATTTTTTGACTTTGCAAAACTTTAAAAAACTGGACTACAGTTAAAAAGAAAGATGAAGCTGGCGATCCATTTTGTTGGCGTAAAATACGAGAAATAAAGGTTTAGAAGGCCAACATAGGCATCATGAATTTCAAGACAAGTGTCACCGACAATTGGAAACACTTGTCGTTTAGGAAACGGCAGGGGTATCACGTAACTTGAAAAGTGACATTATGCCGATTTTTTTTTGACATTATGCTGTTTTTTTACATTATGTAGGTTATTCTACAAGAGCACTTAGTTGTACGTGTTGCCTAAACGTCATGAGGCTTGTTATCAATCTTTGGCTCTGATGTGATGTAAAATCTGCTTCTGAGATGGCATTACTGGAGGTCTAAGCTGTAAGTTGTATGTGTTGATGATGATTACATTGGGTTCTTCTCTCAAATACACTTAATTGAGATTCAAAGCTAGAAATTACTTGCGCATCCACTTTTTCTTATCCATTCTGAAAATTACATATAAAAATTTGCTGAATTTCAAAAATGAGAGAGACAAGAAATAATTATAATCACTGTACACTGTCGAATTACAAGCCATATACATGCTAACAGTAATTAGACTAACGCGGGCGCGGTGACGATTTTCCGTAATTCTCCTCAGTTTTTCGTAATTTCTAACTTTGAACATACCTAATCTCTCTTCAGAGAGCACAACATATAAATAACCCGTCATGTTCGGCATATTCAGTAATGATTTTCTCACACAGCAAATATCACTGATTTTATACAGATGCAGACCAATACACATAATCATCCAGATTTGATCTTGCTATTCAACCAACTTTCTTCTCAGAGAGAAAAACAACAGACCCGGATCACTCAGACTCACAAAACTATGCAACCAATAATGCGTAGTTTAGTTGAGTGATTCCTCCATAGATGGACGTTCACAACGATCCTAGTGAGCAAACGTGGAATGACTGTTTGCGCCCTAAAAACTACCTAGTCTGCAAGTTGACATCTTTTTTTTTTTGACGTTTTATAGATTTTTTACATGATACCCGGGGCCCTGCCCAGTTTAGCTCAAGACTGACAGGATGCAGGTACAGTTTCGATTTCGGAAAAGAAAAAGTCGAACGTGATAACACTATTACCCTACATTTTCGACGTGTTTTGGGGCTTTTACAAAAATTTGCTCACCAACTGTGATAAAGAAACACATCCAGATTTAGTGTCTTCTGACGACGACGATTATTTCGTACTTATAAATGTTTTTATGTTTTTTTTTTTTAATTAGCTATGTCAAAAAACTGAAATTCTCGTTTCTGTGTTTAGTTTAAAGGTAACTAATGAGATAACTACATTTTTGTTAAGTTCGTAAATGGATATTTTTCTTAAATAAACTTTTTTTGAAATTGCGTCCTGACGTATGAAAGGAGTTATTTATTTCTAACCTACTCCTAAAATTTCAAGGCTGTATTAACATATCCGATGTCAGAACAATACTTAAGTAGTAGTAGAAGTATAGATTCGAAAAATTTCAAGTAGCTGCGTGAAATTATCATCGCATTAGCAGCCAAAACCTAAATTTTGCCTCGGTTTTCGGCCATAACCTTTTTACCATTAGTCGGATCGTTTTACGTGTAGTCTCATTCTATAGGTCTCATAAATACCTAAGAATCTTTAAGAGTTTTTTGGTTCCTGCCAACACTTTCGAATGAATCCCAAAAAAGCGTCTTCTCATTCTTTGTTGTCGAATAAAAAGTTTTTCCACAAAAATTGGTGAGCAGGTTTTACGCGTCCATGTTTCAAACACCCCCTTAAAAAGCTTTCATCAATAATACCAGACATTACAATTATTTCGGAGAAATTTGCTAAAATCATTAAACTAATAAGTATTATTAATATCAAAATATCGTTAAAACTAGAAAGTGACCAAGTGTATTTTATTGTTGGCAATATAGAGAATTTCTGATCAAGGAGTAATCTTTCAGAACGAAAAACACAGACCACCTTCGGTTATGAGTACGAAGCTAATGAGACTATCTCGTTAACTCAGTCCAATAATAAACAACCCATAAACAGCATTGTTGTCAAGCTATAGGAAGCTGCTTATTTCCGCGCAGGCACTGCTTTGCATTAGGATATTTCCAGGCATAATATATTAATCAGTAGTAAATAAAATATAACATCCATAATTTACTTCGTATTTTTAGTATTATTTGAAGAAAATACTTGAGAGGCGTAACCAGTGGTATAGTACCAGTGAGACGCAATAATGTAGCTTAACTGTAGTCTTGAATACAATTCTTATTCTTATCTACAACAGCACAGTTTGGTTTTACTTTTCCAAGGTTTCTATTGAGTGGGTCCTCCAAGTTGTCCGGTGTTGTGGTAGTTAGAACGTTTGCCATTGTAGTAGATTTGGGGTGATAATCACTTTCCGTGTCTGAAAAAAAGCAATGAGAAGATTATCAACTCACTTGGAAAAAAAACTATAACTGTGTTCAGCGCTGCTACATGTTTTCGGCAATCATCATCTAGTCACTAGAGACAGACAACAGTGAGCAAACATGCGAATATGTGATGTAATGAGCGAAGAGGTGAAACCACTACTCGTAGGTGGCAACGTTACCTCTTCGAACCTTACTACGGAGTTCACTGGCGTCTTATAATAATATAATCATAATAAAAAGAATAAATAAATGGTCTTTACTTCGTTCAAAAGTACAAAAAAGACGAACTGACGCAAAGGGCAAAGTGATAAAATTTTCGTATTCCGCAAGAAAATCTAACGCACAAATTTTCAATACGCTCTACTTTGCATTGTTCACTATATGATAGAGCAAGGCCATATATAGTGTTACGTGTCAACGTATTCGACAAACAGTATTCACTAATCTGTCTTTCAGATAATGCAGCAGTCGTGTTGTTTAAAGTACACCTCATTCAAATACTTGTTGTTCCAATATTATGGAAAACGTTTTTATATGGATAAATGACACCCTGTATATGCTTCCTCCACAACTGACAGAAATCGTGTCTATGGTCACGATCACAATGCATATTATCATTGTTGCCAGACGCTTTCTGGCTGAAATAATGGTCAAAACTATATTAAAATTTCGCCAATGTTAGAATTTTTAAATAATTCATTAAGGAACAGGATATGCTCTTCCGCCATTAATGTTCTATATTCACTCCATTATCAGCCTGACTCAGATACCATTTTTCTCTACATCCGCGATGACGCAGGGTCGAGTATCATTGCTATGAGGAAACGTGGACTGTAAATTAATTTTTTTAATTTTTTTGTTCAAATATAATCACAATTTTATAATGACTTTATTTTAAAGCCACATAGCACTGGAGACGGTTCTTCCACTCCTCATAGCAGTGTTGGAACTCTTATACTGAATCTTTTTGACAGTCCCAAAATGAGTTTCTTTGAGATGATTTTTCAATTTCGGGAAGAGAGAAAAGTCACAAGGACTCAAGTCAGGTGAATAAGGAGGGTGAAGAGCCTACTGGCCAAAAACTCGGTTACTAACATTGCTGTGTGACAGGAAGCATTATCGTAATTCACGAACAACACCCAGTTGTTCTCAATCTGGTGAACGGTGGTGTGAATCAAATTTAACTCTTCCCCGATCATTCGGACGATCTGATCGCAAAAGAGCCCGGATTCTGTCGATATTTTGATCGGATCTTGAAGATGAAGGCCTTCCGGTTCGTGGTGGTTCATCTTCAACCGACTATCTTCCTTCTGAAAATGCCTTAAACCACCGAAAAACCTGGGCTCTTGACAAAACACTGTCTCTGCAGGACTGTTTAGGAAGAGTTACCATTCCACTGTGCCAAAGTCTGAAGAAAAGCCTGATAGCACATCGTTGGTTGAACCTAATTTTTAGAACACAATGGAAAAAACTGTTTTACAAAAAAAAACATCGCTACGGACAACCAAATGACTCGAGCGAGTTCAAACTTGTACTGAACCTCCGGTGTTGCCAGAATGGAACGCTACGTTGCCAGCCTCATCACTTAATTTACAGACGTCGCGTCGTACTATGCATCTTGGCAGAGGTAAAAATCGTTTGGAGTCTGCTAAGTTAACCTACAGGGACAGTCACCACTCAACGTTCTTGTTTGTCAGGGAAAAAATAATCTTTGATGTCATTAAACATGTCAAAAAGGAAACAAGTTATTTTGGTAATTATCATATCAGATAATGCCCGACCACATATTGCAAGAGTCACAATAGATTTCTTTCAACATAATGATGTCACATTGTTACCATGGCCACCAAGATCTCCCGACTTATCCCCAATTGAGCACGTGTGGGATATGATGGATAGGAGATTGCTCAATTTGCAACGTCCTCCTCAGACTCTAGAAGCACTTCGAGAGGAGTTGGTAGTTGCCTGGAATGAGATACCACAGGAGGACATTGACCACCTGATCAGAAGCATGCCTAGGCGCGTTGGAGAATGCGTAGCACATCAGGGTGCATCGACACATTATTAAAGGTCAAAGGGCTTTAAAGCAGTGCAATCATTTTGAAATTTTTATCATTTACTTATTATGCTTCATTAAGTACTTATACAAAGTTTTATTAAAATAAAACCATTTAAACTGGGTGTTCGGATTTATATGTCACTTAGTATATGTTTGAATTTTAACTCGTTTATACTTGCTGAATTTTTGAAGATTGATCTCACTGTCATCGGGTAGACGAGGCGGATAGAAGCATTGCTTTCAATTTTTTCCTGGAATCTATTAGACTGTAATTGCGGTACTCAGTTGATAGATTGTTGTAGTGTTTGGCCGCAATGTATGAAAAAATTTTCTTGTATAACGATGTAGAGTGGTGGGGTATAACTAGAGATTGACTATTTACTTTTGCTAAGTTGATAACATCTTAAAACTTTTGTAGCTTATTGAGAAGGTACTCTGGTTCCTTATACTTAACGTCTTATGGACTAAAGATAGTGAATGATAGATTCTAAGATTTTCTAAATTCAATTTTAGTTACTACATTTAAAGTATGTTGTGGCAACAATGTCAAAGATTTATCTTTGCTTTTGTTTACCTTCGTTAAAATGTTATCTCTGAGTTTTTGTGAAGAAATCAGTTTCTGAGAGTTGGGTAGTACAGATATTTTTAGTTATTGCCCTTTCATTTACTAGTGTTAAGCATAACAAAATGCCTCGAGTTCGAAGACGTCCAAATTATCACATATTTAGAAACTTTGACAAGGAATTATTGCCTATAGAGATGTTAGTCTCAGACAACTAGCCCTACGAGACCGTTTTGCTTCTACGCGTCAGATCGCTGACAAATGATTTGGAGAAGGTAGACTGTATTCGAGCCTTTGAACTTTTTTCATTCAGATTGCGAGGCAGAATGGCATAATTTCATCTTCAGCGACGAATTACGATTCTAACTAGATATTGGATTTATTGTTGAGAGGCAGGTACACATGACTGTTGGAGTACTGGTTTGAAGGCTTATTGCCTATGGGAGCCGATCACCCCTTCTCTTTGTTCAAGGCAATATGACTGCTGCGCGTTATGTTGACGATATCCTACAAACCACTTTACTGCCGTATCTACAGGGCCGTCCATACGTCCTTTTTCAGCAAGACAAGGCACGACCCCATACTTCTCGTGGTACTACGGACTTTCTTCAAGAAGCGGGTGTTCATGTTTGCCGTCACCACCCCGTTCGTCGGATTTAAATCCCATCGAACATGTGTGGGATATGATGGGAAGGAGACTATCCACTTTACACCATCCGCCACAGACTCTGCGACAACTTGTCCACGAAGTTCGAGTCGCCAGGAATGAGGTGCTACAACCAGACATCGATCATCTTCATTTTGTCAATAAAATTTCGTGAAAATGTAATCGTTTCATTCTTGACGTAAAACTACCTCATTGCCAAAACACCACGTTGAAGAAATTATTATAAGCAGCCAATTATGTATTGAACTTCTTAAAATTGAGAAAATGATGGGAAGAAGCTAAATCTAAGCTTGCCTAAAAATATGTTAGCCGCTCTGATATATCAAATTAATGATCGAGAAAAAAGCTTCGTACATAGATTACATGTTTGTATAAAATTGCCATCTAAATGTTGTTTTGAGTTTTATGTCAGTCCGATAACAATGACAGACAGATATATATATATATATATATATATATATATACAGGGTTATCCAAATTAAGTGTCCACCATTAGTAACTTTGTTATTAGTGAAAATACAAAGTTGTTTGAATTAGCAAACTAGTAGCATTTTTAACGCTGGTAAAAATGAGAAATAAAAAAAAACAATTGAGAGTCGTTATTTTGGTTTTTTTCAGTAAAATAACATTTTTTTAAATGGAAACCCCTGTATATTATATTTTTTTCTGTTAAAGCATCAAATTTTAAACAAAAAAGCTTACAATAACTTTTCTCCTAGGTTACAAATTTTTGAAGTTATGGCCTCCAATCTGAAACAATTAAATTGTATCGACAAACTTTATTTTCAACATCAACTTATAATCTTACAAAATACAATAACAATTTTTTTTAAAGAAGATGCTCGAAAACACCACCTTGTTCTTCAATACATTTTTGGGCACGTTTTTCAACTGCTCGAACTGTCTTAAGTATGGTCCTACCATCTATCTGGGTTATCTTTTCCCTAACTGCAGTCTTTAACGCGTCAAGGTTATCGTACCTTCGCTTGTAAATTTGGTTCTTTAAGTAACCCCACAAGAAGTAATCAAGTGGGTTTAGATCTGGTGATCTGGGAGGCCACTGTATTGGGCCATTTGTTCCTATCCACTGATCATTAAAAGTAGTACTTAGAAAATGATAAGTACCTCTGGAGGGCAGGTGCGCCATCTTGCTGAAAATGCAGATGATGTCTACTTATAAGATCCAATTCGTCTAAGAAATTAGTCAGAATTTCTGACATAAATTCCACATATCTTTCACCAGTTAGGGTTCCCTCATAAAAGAACGGGCCAACAATTTTTGAACCAATTATACCGCACCAAACGTTGAAACTGAAACGGACTTGTGGGCCTCTTGGATGTACTAACAAAAGATTTTCTCTTGACCAATAATGGTGGTTTTTTCTATTAAACATTCCAGAATTTGAAAAATTTGATTCATCTGTCCATAAAAGGTAACGAAAGTTATTTACATTTTGGCGACAGAAGCTAAGATACCAATGGCAAAAAACAAGTCTTCTCTCTGGATCCCCTGCCAAAAGCGTTTGAACTGGTCGGTACTTATACGGAATAAATTTGTATTTTTTTAAAATCCTTTGAACAGTACCATAACTGAAATTAGAGTCCTTGAGAATATCTGCTATTGAATTCTCACGATAAGCTTCAAAATATCCAATAACTGCAATTTCCGTGGCCTCGCTTATTATGAATTCTTTTTTTGCCCTTG